CCATTCCCACATACCGCTAGAGTACTATGTGGTTGAGTACTTTGTGAATTGGCAAGCCCGCTGTCCATTTGGTGAAACATCTTATGACCAGGCCTCAAAATTCCATAGAGGTCAACCACAACTGAGCTCAACTTTTCTGTTGCTAAGTGAGACATTGGTTGAGTTTTGCCCCGTTTTATGACCTTTCCAGCCACAGTTGTTAAGTGAACCACTGTGGTTGTTTAAGTTAGTAAGTTGGTTGTGAAGTGAATCTGGCTTCCTCATTGACTGTGCTTGTTAGAAGACCACAAAAAGGAGTTTACCTGACCCTGGGACACTATGACGGTCATAAATAGGAGTCAGTTGCCCAGCATCTGAATTTTGATCACATGACCGTGGGGAGGCGGCAAGTGTGAAACACAGTCATAAGTCAGTTTTTCCAGTTGCCGTTGCAGCTCGGAACTGTCACTAAACGAACTGTAAAGTCGGGGACTACCTGTCTACGTGGCCTCGAAGGTCCCCATTCCTTTTCCAGATTCGGAAAAGATTTGGAAATACTCGATTCCCAAGTCGTAAAATGTCCCGGCGATAGAGAAACATGAACAATTTGGAGTTCCTAACATTTTGCATCATGGCGGCCATTTGCTAGGAAAGGTGGCGGGAGGGAAGACATCGCTGTGGGAAGTGATGGCATTTCAAGATGGAGAAAATCCTATTTACAAGGCTTGTTGTCGGACTTTCAGCGTTTTGTCTTCTCTTTGGCAGATAAGCTGTGGTACTGCCGCCTTTCTCCCAACCACAAATTTCTCCATTATGGGGATGTCGAAGAAGGGGTCGAAAACCCACCAATAGAGAGCTTGCAGGAGAAAGGTGCGTGACAATCCCCCATCCTTGTAGGCTCGTTTACCTCACCATTATTCCCAGGAGATCTATGGAGATTCTCAGTGGTCCAGTTGTCCCCAAGGTGCTTTTTCAGGAGGCAACTTGCTTTCTTGTTTTTCTTTCAGGACGTTTCACTTCTCATCCAAGAACGGAAGGAGCTTCCTGGATGAGAAGCGAAACGTCTTCAAAGAAAAACAAGAATGTCCAGTTACTTCTTGAAAAAACACCTTTACTCCTAGGATAGTTGGCAAGGCACCAACAAAGAGGAAGGGAGGCATGGAAAGATTGGGTGAAGGGTGCTAAATTTGCTCACAAATGCTTTCCTGATTAAGATCTTGTCCCTTCCAGCCTTATAATTCTGTGTTCTATGTGGCTAGTGAATTAGCCTATTTTTGTCATTGTTGTTGTTGTTTTTAATGAATTGGATTGCTTCTTTTTGGAAAGCAGGCAGAATACCCGCCTCTAAACGATGGATTTCTTAGGTTTGAGGTTTTCATAGTTCTCCTTGTGAATCTGCTTCAATCTAGGTGGGCTTTTACCTGTCAATTACTTGTCTCCCCAGTTTCTGTGGCTGATATGAAAGCGTTGCTGGTAGGCCGGGAATGCCCCCACACCAAGGAAAAGAGTTCGGGCAAGCAGAACAAGGTCAGCCAATGTCTCATCTGCGCTGGGCGGATCGCTTTCGCTTAAATCCCTTGCAACCCCTCCCTCACCCAACTCTATTATTCTCTATAGTTATTTGCAAGGCCATAAAGACCTTAATGTGGCATATGGTACTTGCAACATACTATAAGACAGCATCTGAGATCCCATCACATATTGACCCGCAAACAACTCACTTTCATTTTCAACCAGGCTTGTGTTTTGCAAATCTAGATAATAAGTTCTAAATTGAATAGGACTTTTGCCTTTCATTCTGCCAGCAACATTTCTGCCATTAACCCTCCTGTTTTCTCTTCCGAACCCCTTGTTTCCCACCCACCGTCTCTCAGGATCTTCTTGACCTTGCATTTTCCATAAGTTACGATGTTGGAGAGCATCTGAATTTCATTGCCTCGACACGTTACGAGGTGAGCCACTGCAGGGGAACCCAACAACCTATCTGGGTTATAAAGAGTTCCCCCAGATTCTCTATGCCAAATGAGAAAATAGCTTTGGGACATTTCTGCCGCTGAAATAAGATGCAGATAGGCACGAACTGTCTGGTAAATTCATCCCTTGTGGTTAGTTTTGTCGTGTTTCGAACTTTGACAAACAAGTTGACTTTGACACTATGCAGAGGTCATGGAGCTATTCTCCCTTCTGGGAATATTCATTTTGATAAGAGGACAGTGTTCCATACTTTCAATTTGCTGAGAAACGGCATACAGCCTTGCATTATTTTCAGATTATGTTCTGGTTTCTGCTCCTGATTATTAGCTAGGTTTTGCATCTGGCATGAGGCCATATTTGGCTTGTTTGCTTTGGTGTAATATGGAACTTGCTGATGGTGGTTTAAAGCTGAGCGCTTTGCAGGATTATTAAATCCAGGGAAAACAGTGAGTTGGGTGAGTAGCCCTAGCCTAGTTCAAAAGAAAACATTTATGCCTACTTCTTGGTCGCCTTCAGCTTATTAACAAGGTTGACAATATCTACAGAGACCCCCCCCCCAATGCTTTGTCCTTGTTCCTCAGTTCTGCTTGTGGACCGATGGACTGAACGTGCTTCTCGGCCGGGAGATGGTCAGCGAAAGGATGCAGAGCGACCTGGATATCTTGCTGTCTATGGAGCTCAAATTGCGATTGTTGGATCTGGAGAACATTGCCATTCCTGATGCCCCACCCGACATCCCAAAACCTCCCAGCAACTTAAATTTCTGCTATGATTTTACCCATATTGAACAGTAAGGGCTGTCCTTCTTGTCCGTAGCACACAGTGCCCCCCACCCTCCACCCCAAGCAGGATCTGCACAGCACTACACGCTGCTCTACAGATTCACGGGCTTGGATCACCTGAAAGCCGGATCAGGAACGTGGCATGGGTTCCCTGCTTTCATCCCACGTTCCAGTTACTTCCAGTTTCACTTTTCACCCGAGTAGCATTTACTATGACATCAAAACTGGGCAAACCACAGGTAACCAATCCAGGCCAGACCACATCTTGTCAAAGCAAAGTTTGAACATGAGCGGTGACCACAGATTGCCTAATTCAGACATCGCAGCAAATGGAGCGAGACTAAGAGGAAGGAGGAGGGCAGCTTGTGGTTTGCTCACTATCTTCCCAACCGAGCCTTGGTTGAGGGTGTGTGTTTTTTTTTAAATGCTAGAAAAATCAGTTTTTAATTAACTCTTCCGGAGGCACCATTATGTGGCTTTCTTCCAACCGAGGGGCCACCAAAATCTGGAATGGGAATAGCTTTGCCGGGAAGAGGGATAGGCTAGCAAATAGGCTTTAAGAACAGAAAGTGAGCGCTGTGAAAAAGGGAACAGAGAATTGAACAGCTACCCACTCACCAAGATACTTGTCTCTGTGAGCTACCATCTGTAACAGGTGTTAGCAAGTTACCTGTAAGAAAACACACACACATGGATACCAAAAACGAAGCAAAAACCCGTAAGGGAATTTGCGTGCCACGTGGGTCGGTTTGTACTCTGGAGAGACCTCATTCTGCAATCTTTAGCATTATCCTACTGTAAGGGGTAGCCACATAGACTACCATTTTCCCAACAACACTTCGGACACTATTAGTGCCACAACCGGCCTCAGCCATGCAACCACCTTAGCTTTTGCATATTGTACAAGCTAAAAAAACCCAGTTGCTGGCTGTGTAGAAACTGGGGGGAATAGGCTGGTAGCTGTTTAGAGTGTCAGAGCAGAGGCAGAAAGTCGTCAAGTTGAGCCTTGATCTCAGTTCTAGCGAGAACAGACGGCCATTGGCTTCAGCGGCCTGAGACAATAAGCTTCTAAGTCGGGTCTTCAAACTTGGCTCTTTTATGACTTGTGGACTTCAACTCCCAGAATTCCTCAGCCAGGCATGCGTGCCTGGCTGAGGAATTCTGGGAGTTGAAGTCCACAAGTCATAAAAGGGCCAAGTTTGAAGACCCCCTGTTCTAAGGGCTGATTGTGGGTTAAGAATGAGCTTTAGGTTGGTTTTAGACTCATGAATGGATCTCTGAATTCTTACTGCTAGTGGTTATTTTTTTTTTCAAAGGTTTTGTTTGGATTTGCACTTCCCTGGGAATTGGGGGTACGGAGTGGAGGGATGGTTGAGGTCTTCTTCTGCTTTCCTTATGAAGAACTGGTGTCCTCTGTCAGGCAATTGGCCTCCACCCTCTCCTAAGCTTGTGTAGTTTCAATGCTGTCAAATGCTCGCTCTGCCTTGGGTTACGTTTTGCACTTTACAATTTGCCCCCTCTTGCTGTCTAAGAATGGGAGGCAAGGCAGTCAATGGCTCCTGTCTTCCCAAGCAGAAGGCGATGTTCTGTTCAAACCAGGAGCACCATTAGCTTTAAGGGATGCATTTTTTTAAAAAAAAAACTTGTGATAGTTTGCAAGTACAATTTCCGGTATGGGGGGAGGGGGGGGGAAGATTTCTGACAATCTCTCTTTCAAGAACTTTCTTTTAGGGTACAGTATATTCCATGGTACTTAACGGTCTGTCCTGTTGCTTTTGAACAATAGTCTCGATTCTGCCCCAACAATAGTTGGATTCTGGATAGGCCATGAAACATGCCTTTTTTAAAAAATGCTTTTACCGCTTGCCACCTTGTAGTGTGTGCCTAAGCTAGGTAGACAACCTCTTTGGTATCTTAAAAGGGAAGAGTGGGGGACCAGAAGTTGCGTTGCATCACACCAGGGATTAAACCAGACCAGGGGTGGGCAACTATGCAACTTTATGACCGGTGGACTTCAGCTCCCAGAATTCCTGGGCCAGCTCGTAAAGTCCACAGATCGCAAAGTTGCCCACCTCTGAACAAGACAGTCTACGAGGCTCAGCTTGAACCTAAGATTTTGTTGATGTACCATGGATCGGAGCTTGACCCCTTTAACTGACCACGGACAAAAGGCACTTCGGCCTCACTCTGTAAATGGCGGGATTGCGACTGGGGGACAGACTTCTTTTGGTTGTTCTTGGTCTCTTGTCTCTCTCAGCTATTTTGAAAGAAAATTTGGCTGTTCTTTACCCACTGTATGTACATTCGGTGTCTGTGTCACAAGAGATTTTTTTTTTCCTCGCCCCACAACAGATGTGGAGTTGATTGCACTGGATCAGAAATTTTTGTGGGTTTTTTTTTTTGTCCCTTCCAACTCTTTGCGTATGATTTAGTCTTGTGCCGCGAAAACTCTTCACAGGTTAAGAACAAACCTTGTCTGCTTCAATACAGGGAGTCCTCGACTTACAAGCACAATTGAGCCCCAAAATTTCTGTTGCTAAGGGAAACATTTGTTGAGTGAATTTTGCCCCACTTCTTGTCACCGTTCTGACGTGGATCTTAGCAGTTGCTAAGTTAGTAACACAGTTATTAAACGAATCTGACTTTCCCCATTAACTTTGCCGGTCAAGAGAGTTGCAGAACGGGATCACGCGACTCCAGCACACACTGCCACCGTCATAAAGAGGAAACAATGGCCAAGCATCTGAATTTTGATCACGTGACCCTGGAGATGCTGCAATAGTCGTGGTGTGAAAAATGGTCATAAGTCGCTTTGTCCAGTGCCGTTGTAACTTCAAAACAGTCAGTAAGCTGTTGTAAGTCGAGGGCTACTTGAAAAATGCTGAAAAGGGATTCCTGAGCATTCCCCAATTTCCTTCCTGCTCAGATGATTCTACTGTAACAAATTCACTGTGGTACTACCTTGGGCATAGAAGCCATTAATCATTAAAAAGAAAAGAGGAAGAACTACTTTTACGACTTTTTTTGTTTGCTTGCTTGTTTTGATGGCATGTAGCTGGGATCCCTGTGCAGGGCACAGAAACCAAATGCCTTTAAAATGTATAGGTGGAGTCAAAACCCAGTGAGAAGTTTGACATTCCCCCCCTTTAGAAAATGAAAAGATTGAGTGGTAACCTCTTATGCTGCAGGGACAGATGCTTTGGGAATATGATTTAGTCTAAGATGGGCCTTCTGCGAAGGGTTATTGCTTGTGAAACAACTGGAGATTGGGAAATTACCTTTATCGGGAGTCAATACGTTGCCTGCAGCAAGATGGGCATCAAATAAATTTAATCAGTCAATCAGTCAATAACACCAGCCTTGCAGGGACCAAGACCAAAATGGCTGAAATCCAGAGATGATTCTCTGATCAACACTGGCCTCTTCCACTAGATCACCGTGGGGAGATTGAAGAAGAAAGGTATGCCTCTGTGGGCATCATATGGGGTGCGTCAAGCTCTAATTTGTCATCTCAAGTTTGAGTAGATTTATCTTACGGATCAAAACCCTGAAATGTATTTACTGGAGTCAGTGGAATAGCAATGGCTCCCACAAAGAGCTGTTTGCTAAGCAGAGCACCTAATTCAGGACTGTTTGATCCATGCAGAATCAAGTCCACGCATCTTCCCCAACTGTTCACTGAAAAGAAGCTTTTTGGGTGAGAAGCAAAACATCTTCAAAGAAAAACAAGACAGACCAGCTGCCTATTGAAAAAAAGCACCTTTGGGACCATGAAAACAAAAAGGCTTTTCAAGTTGTAATAGTAAAACGATGTCATAAAACTCCAGCAGATACGCAGGGGACCCTTTTTCACATTCACCTTATTTTTGTGGACAGTTAACTGGTAGGACTTTTTTTTTTTTTTTTAACTGTTGACGTGTGCAAAACTAAATTTTGGGCACGACTTGACAAATTTTGGAGAACATGGCTCCCAATGCTATTTTGTGGAAACGGGCATCTGGCAGACCTCGGCTATTTTGGATTTATTACTTGAAGGGGTTTGTGAGAAGTGAAATCAAACAGGTAACTCTTAGCCAAGATGAGAGAGTTGTGTTTCATCGCTTGCTTTGTCCTTTGCCCCAAACTCTAAAGCATGGATAAGATGGCAGTCTTTTATTTGTGCCCCTGTTTTAGGTCTGACACCCTCCCCTCCCTGGGTACACAAACTGAGTCACAGGCTTAGAAAGAAGAGACGGATGCTATTGGAAAAGTTGCTTTTTCACCCTGTTTGCAAGAAGCAGCCACCAGGACATCTCGCTGTGTGTCCAAACAGTCCAAGGATGCTTGGTATCGGTGAGGAGGGCAGACTTTGAAAGCAGAAGCAAATGCAGGTTTTGTTTAAAATGGACAAAGGGACTTTTAAGGATTGGCAACTAAGAATATAGTCACCTAGAAGGCATTCACAGCCTTTAGAGAGGACAAAAAAAGTGCTCGTGCCTGGCTATGTTGAAACTGGTGTGAATAACAAGATTTATCCTGCCGTCTTGTTGGGATACCGCTCCCAGCACTGCTGGGACTTAAACCTGGGTCCAAACTCCTGGAGCAAATAAATATCATCCATTCTGCTTGTAAAATACCGAAATTGCTGGTCTCGCTCAGTAACTTCTGGAAGGTAGTCTTGGGACCTGTCCCCACTATCATGGAAGATAAGTTGCTTCCTTGATGGGGCTTATGCGGCCGCTAGAGTGCAATTCATTTTACCCTGTGGGCATGAGGCCATCAAGGATGTCACAAGAGGACTTCCTGCCTTCCCACTGGGATGGAGAAAAGTTAATCAAGGAGTCTGGGCTCACAAGCGCCCACAAGGGTTCCTCAAAGGGTGATAGAAAGATCTGCTCCACCCACAAACCGTGACTGGATGCTCGTCTGGCTTTGAGGGGGTAGCTGCGACTGGAAGTGTTCAACGTCGGACATGCTGATCTTGCTGCACATGGAGACATCTAAGGACTTCAGCAGCTGGCACTCCTGGCCAACGGACTTCAGGGTCCTAGAAAGGGATATATTCCAGTTGCTGTTGGTCTCTTTGGCCCACCCACCTCCTCAAGGAAAACTCTGCAGTAACCTTGCCACCCCCGTCTCCTTTACGGGAAGGGTGTGGGCAATCTTCTGGTGCTCATGGTTAGGGAGAGGGACCTGGGACTAGTAGTAGCTGGAGCAATGCTATAAAATGGACAGGGCCCTTTGCATGGGAAGAGCTTCTAAGGCAGCGGTCTTCAAACTTGGCCCTTTTATGACTTGTGGACTTCAACTCCCTGAATTCCTCATTGCAATAATGAAGAATTGAGTGTCCCAATACAGTAGTCCTGGCTTATCACATTTTGACTATCTAGATCAGGGGTCTTCCAACTTGGCCCTTTTATGACTTGTGGACTTCAACTCCCAAAATTCCTCAGCCAGGCTGAGAAATGGGAGTTGAAGTCCACAAGTCCTAAAAGGGCCAAGTTGGAAGACCCCTGCTCTAAAGAATTTTCCAAGGTCAACTGAGGATCCTTTAGGCCACAGGCGATGCCCCAAGGCATTCAGGTGACCCACCCCCTTGCAAACTACGCTCACTTACCTGGGCGTCAGCTGGTTGCAGCCAGAAAGAATGAGATGCTGCAACCTGCACAAGGAACCAGCTGCCTCGGCAAAGCCTCTATCCGTCAGGTTTGTGCAATGGCTCAGCGAAAGGTGCTCCAAGCTCCGGCAGTTGCGCGCAATAGCGAGGAGGCTAGTGTCGGTGATGTTGGGCACGAGGCTGAGGGAGAGGTAGCGAAGATCTGGGAAGCTAATGACCTGGAAAGGAAGGGCAGGGCCAAATCCCGCATGAGGTACAAGGTGTAAATCAGGCTGATAGAAAAAAGCACCCCAAGCTTACAATGAGGAACGATATTGGGTGTGAGTTGTCACCACGACCTGCTAGAGCAGGGGTGTCAAACTGCCGGTCCGCGGGCCGGATACGTCATGGCGAAACCGCGCCCACCCCATTGCCGGCAATGGAAAAAAAGTCAAGATACGTCACGACACGTCATATGACGTTGCAAGTTTGACACCTCTGTGCTAGAGCAACGTTTCTTAACCTTGGCAGCTTTGAGTGGACTTCCAACTCCCAGAATTCCCCAGCCAGCCCTGCTTCTTTGGAAATGTTTAACTGAGTAGGCTTTGCATCCATCTCGGTGCCAGAATGCTTCCTTTCTGTGGAGAATGTTACAATCCCTGGCCAGCTGAAGAAAATCGACATTATTTAGTTTACAGCAGGGATATGTGTAACCTATGTGCTGCTTTCAAGCCTGGAGTTCTTTGAGGCTTTACATGGAATGAAGGAAAATAGAAGATTTGCACAGCTAGATGGACCAATAATTCTACTTCATAGGAGGTCATTTTAGGATGTTCCTCCAACGGTGTTTGGGCTGCCCCAAACTGGAGAATGCAACTTCTCTTCATAGGAACATTGGCCAGGGAGAAGATCGCTTCTGCTGGTCCATTTAGCAAAGCAATTAGTCCCATTATCTGCTTTCCCCACCCCAGGACGCCCTGTACCTTGGTTATGCTCATGTCCGTCAGCTTCCCACAGGCCGTCAGGTCCAGCTCCTGCAGACGGGTCAAGGCGTTCAAAGAGGTTTGGCGCTGCTCTTGGGCCTTCTGTTGGTGGAGGTTAATGACCATCATCTTATCCTGCTCCAGATCCTGGGGAGGGGGCAGGAAAAACCCCATATTGCCAAAGTTCCTGCTGAACTTTGGGCCAGCATCTTTCTGTCAAAGCAAGTTGGAAGGATGGGTAAAAGCAGACAAAACCTTTCTGAGGTTGCTTAGAAAGCGAGGCAGACACCCCTCAGGTGTGCCCTAACGGCCCTGTTGGGTGGGGGAGTGAAAGTCCACGGAGCTGGCAGACATCCAGGAAAGGACCATAACGGAGCATGATATGGGAGCACTGATGCTAGGCCTCCAAAATACCAAAAGGGAATTGGTGGCTTGCAGGCCCCTCCCATGGCTATTTCAACCTCTCCTCACATGGTGACTTTCCCACTGTCACCGTGGAGGCCAGCTGTTTTCTTCAGGTTTTGTAAACATTTTGGAGGCTTGTGCTACCAGAACAAGTGTTCACCACCCAAAAATAAGCTCGGCCATTAGAAAAAAAAAAAGTGTGTTTATGATGTGACAATGAGAAGAATTAATCAATGGATCAGCGTGCCTCCAGAAGCTGTGGGAGCTCCATTACTGGAGGTGTTGAAGAGACTGGATATCTATCTGTCTGGGATGATATAAGGTCTCCTGCCTTGGGTAGGGGGTTGGACTAAAAGTCCTCCAAGGTCCCTTCCAGCCTTATGCCTCTATGATTGTGTGCTTCTATGACTGCTGTTCTCTCACCTCTTTGGCGCGTTCACGTTCCTCTCTGGGCTCCCCGATCCCCAGCAAACCCCAGTCGGTCAGTTCCTTACACCAGGCCAAGCGGAGGACAGTCAAGAGTAAAAGACTGGAAGCGATGGCTTGGACGCTTCGGTTAGAAAGCGACACGCAAGACGACAGATCCAGAACCCGAAGGCTCTTGCTTAGAGCTCCAGCCAGAGACAGCACTGTGCTATCCTGCAGAAGAAGAGGAAGAGGAAGAGGAAGAGGAGGAAGAAGAAGAAGAAGAAGGAGGAGGAGGAGGAGGAGGAGGAAGAAGAAGAAGAAGAAAAGAAGAAGAAAAGAAGAAGAAGAAGAAGGAAGAAGGAAGAAGAGGAAGAAGAAGAAGAAGAAGAAGAAGAAGAAGAAGAAGAAGAAGAAGAAGAAGAAGAAGAAGAAGAAGAAGAAGAAGAAGAAGAAGAAGAAGAAGAAGAAGAAGAAGAAGAAGAAGATGATGATGATGATGGGCCGGGCTCTGCATCTCTCCACATTCACCCTGCAGTTAGTAACCACATTTCGGGCACTCGGGATCTGGCCTACATTTATGGCTATTTGCAGCTCCCCATGGTCACAGGGCCTCAATTTACGTCTTTCCCCCTCCCCTTCAGAAACTAGTGTCTACTTCCAGTTTTCAGCAAGATACACCCCACCGAAGATGATCTGCTTAATGTGACCCCATGTTCCCTTGATGACTGCCACAAAAACGGCCATAAAATCGTGCACACTGTGAGGACCGGCTTTACGCCTGTCATGACTTAGGATTGAAATTTAGGGCACAATGATGGCCCTGGATTGCATTAAGCCAAGGAATTTAACCATCGTTTAGTGAACACAGCTTGACATTGTATTAAGCTAAGCCCAAACCAACTCATTATGCCGTCGCACGGCCTGTGAACCCGTTGTTGAATGGTACTGCTGGTCTAAAAGAAATCAGTTTTAAAAAACCATCGCAGAACTTACCCTTAATAATGAACAAAAGGCAACATTCAAGGATTTTAGCTCGGGAGGTCTTGCGCTAGTGCCAAAAGCTTTCACCAGCTCACTGCAGCTCACCAGACTGCATTCAGACACGTCCAAGCTCTGGAGATGCTTCAGGTGTGACATTCCCTGGAAGCCGGCATCGGTCATTCGCGGGAGCTTCCCGAGATGCAGGCAACGAAGAGATAGAAGCCGGGAACTGATGGCCAGGCCAGCCCGGTCCGAAAGCTCAGAGCAGCCTCTCAGGTCCAGCGTGGTCAGCTGAGGCTGGTGCTGACACAGGATGCTGACCGCCTCGTTGGTCAGATCCCGGCAAAACTGCAAGACCAATTCCTGCATCTGGAGGTCCTCCACTTGGACCAAGGTCCTCATCGCCTGGCTGTTAATATTGGTGCCGCTCAAATCCAGAGACTTTATGCGAGCGGCTCGCCAGCTGAGGAACTGCAGGAGGTTGCGGAAAGAGAGCAGGGCTGAGGAGTTGTAGTCGTGGGAGTCACTGTAGCTGTCAAACTCAAAGGTCAGGTGGCAGCGGGCCAGGACCAGCTTGGCCAGCTGTGGGCAACAGCTGGTCAGGCGGTTGAAAGTGAGATCGGACAAGTACCTGACGCTGGACAAATTCAGCTCCCGCAAATTGACTAGCGCATCTTGAGCTTGCAATAAAGTCTCTTTTTTGGAGAGCAGGGTGCCGGGCATGAAGATGCTGTTGCAGCTGCTCAGGTCCAGGGCCACGAGGCTGGGGCAAGCCAGAAGGAGCTCCTCAAAGCTGGCTTCGGTCAGGCAGCTCCCGTTCAGGCACAGACTGCGCAGATGGGGGCCCAGGTAGTTGGCAACGTATTTGATGACATCCCGGGAAGTGGTAGAGCTGTCCAGGTTGGCCATCCTGATGTTGCATACGTGCCTTTGGGCCAAGGCCCGGATGGTACTGAGTGAAGCAGAAGTAGCTGGGATGTTGTAGAGGACATTTTCCTAGAATTGAAGCAAGACGGGCTCCATCACGAGGACGTACAAGCAGTCCTCGAATTACGAGCGTTCATTTAATGACAGGTTCCAAGTTGTGACGGCCTGGGAAAAAGTGACCTTACAACCCATCCTGGAAGTTACAGCTGTTGCGCCACCCCCCCCTAACGGTCACGTGATCAGGCGCTTGGCAAGCAGCTCACATTTCCAATGGTGGCCGTATCTTGCGGTAACGGGATCACAACTTGCGGCCTGCCTGGTTGGCTTCCAGTCAGTTGGGGAAGCCGGATTCTACACTAACAACCACATGATTCATTTAATGAGTGTGAGGTTTGTTTAACATATATGGGGGTTTACATAATAACCGTGATAAAAATGGCTGTAAAAACAAGTCTGCTCATGTGATGACTCCTTTTACGACTGCCTCCTTTTACGACTGCCGCAACTTACAATGGAAATTGCAGTCCTGAATGAGATTGCTAAGTCAAGGATGCCTGTATTTGCAAAGAGACCAATTTGATACACTGCACTTCCTAATTCAGTGTTTCTCAACCTTGTCCACTTTAAGATGTGTGGACTTCAATTCCCAGAATCCCCCAGCCAGCAATTCCCCATTGCTGGCTGGGGAATTCTGGGAGTTGAAGTCCACCCATCTTACAGTGGACAAGGTTGAGAGACACTATCCCAATTCGTTTCCAACATCTATTTGGTTTTAGATTATAGAAGAAGAGGGACGATTTTTGGATCCCCTCCTTTTAAAGATGGGAATTTGAAAAGGAGATCTGAGAAGTGAAACAGTTTTATTTCCATCTTTAACCGAAAATGAGCCAATCTTCCCCACAGTAACATATCATATTAACACATTGTCCCTGGCAAATTGGGAGGCTGAGATGTTGCTCCCAAATCAGTAAAAATTGCCCAATCTTTTTTAAAAAAAGGGAGATTTTCCAAGAGGGGATTGCCTTCTGAAGGAACAGAAAGTATAGGCAAGCTTGTTTAAGCCCACAAAGGTTTTACCTGTCGCAGAGAGTCTTGGGCGGCAAAATACCAGGCCCGGCTAACCAAAGACGCCTCTTTTCTGTCAGAGATAGGTAGAAAGTTCAAGATGTAAGTGATGACCTACAAATGAGAAAGCAGAGGCCAACTTAGCTGTTCACCTTGGGAAGAGAATCAATTTATCAGATGAAAATGTCATCTAAAACTTCTTGCCCTCGTGTTGAGATGCTTGTTACGCTCCATAAGGCGATCTGTGTGGAGACGAGAGAACGTAATTAACGGAGTAAGGACTGGTAAAGCATAAGGCTTCCTCGTGTCATGATCTTGCGAGTCTGGATGACAATCACAAGTACTGGCATTTGGATACAGTAAAATACTTGAAAGTCCGTCCCACGGAAGAGGAGGTCAACGTATTCTGCGGAGCACCTGAGTGCAGGGCAAGATGCAAACAGGTGGAAGCTAATCAGAGTGAAATCCTACCTGGAAATCAGGAAGAATTTCCTGGGAGCAATTAATCAGTGGAAGAGCTTGCCTCCTGGAACTGTGTGTGCTCCATAGCTGGAAGATTTCAAAAATAAACTGGACAACCATTTGTTTGGGATGGTATACGGACTCCTGCTTTGGGTGGGAGGTTGAACTAGATTAGAAAACTTTCAAGCTTAATTCCAGCCTTGTGATTCTATGAACTACTAGAGCAAGTGTCTAGATTCTCAACTTGCAATAATGAAGAATTGAGTGTCCCATTGAGTCATGTTTTGACTATCTAGAATCAGGGGTCTTCAAACGTGGCCCTTTTATGACTTGTGGACTTCAACTTCCAGAATTCCTCAGCCAGGCAATCACATTTTGACTGTCTCTGCAGTATGTTTATTGCTGAAAAAGGAAATATCTGATTCTCTTCTGCTTTTTCTTAATATAGCAAAACTGAAGTTAATTTCAGATATTCATATAATGTGAAACCACATGGCTTAGAAGAAGGAAGTCTTCTACAAATCTTATTATCCACTTTTTCGGTTTAATTTGCTAATAATATGCCGGAGGCTGCTGACCTTTATGAAGAGCCAGATGCGATAAAGCTATAAAACAGTAAATGATTCACTCTAATTGGCTCTACACAATAGCAAACTATTGTGTGTACAGAGAAGTCTTCTGAGAACAGCAACCTCTATCTATAAAGAAAACCATTTAGTTATAGTACTTGCTTGTTCTATCTGGGTTGGAGAAAAAAATTCTGGGTTGAGGCTGATGGGTTTTTATGGTGTGCCCACTTTTGGAGTTTACCATAAAGTATCCCAATCCAGATAAGATGTCACCTATCAAGACCAAAAAGTATTTTGACAAATAATCAAAATCAAGCCGTAAGCTACAGTTTACAAGCTACCATCGTTGGGCTCATGCAACAGGCAATGCCCAAATCAGACAATATCTGGTTTATTTTAGCACCATGCTGTAAAACCATTCAGAAGTTTGTTAATATTATTAATTATAGAAACAACTAAATGAATGGTTTATGAAGCAATCAACACTGAAGCTTTGAACAAAGAAATCATTAAAAAATAACTTTTAACAGTGTTTTGTAAGGATTCTATAAAATCATTTTGCGAAGCCACTGTTTCAAGGAGCGGCTTTTATCCTAGCTGTGTTGGTTTTAAAATAAAAAGGGACACATTTTAAAAAGCAATTGTGCTCAAAAGGCAACAAGTTGTCTCAAATGGAAAATGAAAAGAGGTGTTTTTTTTTTTTTTAAGTACATGCAATGACTTGTTTATTAAACATTTCAAGGGGAGTTGTTCTACAAAACACTTCAGGAAATGTCTGGAGTCAGTGTCCTTTTTTTAAAGCATTTTCAGTTACATGAGGAGGCTGTGGCCAAACCTGGCTATGGTAAATGACGATTTTTCACACTCCTACAGCAACATCAGACAGTTTTCAATGGACTAATTCAATGTATTATTTCCATGCCTTCCAAATAGGATTTTATTACCCACTTCAGCATTCCAATTTCAACAGTTGTGTATCTATCCGAGGAATCTGGCCCCATGATAGAAAACTGTTTTTTCATTAATGTGGTTATCCATCTTGACTCATTCCTCAACCCTGATGCTATCTATGGTTTGGGTTATCCAATTACCCACTCCTAAAAAGCGGGAACCTTGTCGAATGTGACAATTGCCCTGTGGTTTAAACATGACATAAGTCCATTTTCATTGACAAACAGGACGATTCTTTCATTTAAAAGGATTTCCAGTGCAAGAACGGAATAAATGAACCACCCGCAGTAAACATCTATATCTATAACAACAACGGGAAGAACTTCACTCCGATCAAAGAAACTAAACAACAATTGAAGGGAATATCAATAGCTCAGCCTCTTAAAAACCAGGTGATGAAGACCATGCAATCTCTCCTACGAATTTTACTGTTGTTTTCCCTTATAGCGGAGCAAAATGTAGGCAGCTGCAAATGATGCACGTGGCTCAGATCAAAGGGGAACGTGCTCTTAACCTGGAGGAAGACAGTTATGACATGGGTCCTCAAGCTTGGTCACTTTAAGACTCGTGGACTTCAACTCCCAGAATTCCTCAGCCAGCTTTGCTGGCTGAGGAATTCTGGGAGTTGAAGTCCACGAGTCTTAAAGTGGCCAAGCTTGAGGACCCCTGAGTTACACTTCAGGAGCAACAGCGAAAAAAAGCTAGCGCCTGACACGGGTCTGCAGACACGTCTGGATGCATGCACGCGGGCTGAGCGCGCAGCAAACCTGGCAGGATTCCACTGAGCAGCATCCGCGCCTTCGGGCGCCCTTACCTCGACGGGCAGCCTCCAGGTCTCCATCGCCGGCCGGAGCCCGGCTAGAGGTCAGCCGAGAAGCGGAAGACACGGATGGACAAAGAAGCGGCGCCGCCTCCAACGGCCGTCCACGCCCACGCCCCGCCCATCAGCCCCGCCTCCTCCTCCTCCTCCCCCGCGTTCCGAGATCCCCAAGACGACGGCGCGGTGCCTGTCGGGAACTGTAGGCTTTCCGGAGAAGAGCGTTTTCGTGGCGGCGCTGTGATGTGACGCAAATGGCCCCGCGCCGGAAGTCCCGCTGGGTTGAGTTGGTCGGACTTGCCTGCGTGCCCTGTAGGCTGGTCGGGGAGCCGCCATGGCGGTGAGTCGGGCATCGGGAGGCTGGAGCGAGCCGGGGCGAGCGGGCGATCTTTAAATAAAGATCGAAGGATCGTGACAAGCTCTGATTTAAAAAAATAAATAAAATAAAATTGCCTTTTTTTTCTTCCCTTCCCCCCCCCTCCGCAGCCGAAAGGAAAGGTAGGAACCAAAGGCAAAAAGCAGATATTTGAAGAAAACAAGGATACCCTCAGGTTCTACCTGCGGATCATCTTAGGGGCGAACGTGAGTGTGGGGCGCTGGGTCTCCGGGGTTTGGGAAGAGGCGAGCCAGGGCAGCCCGGCTATTTTTGATCGGGGAAGAAGATAAGATAACCTTTATTGCCTTTTTTGTTTTTTACTGTGGGCACAACGGCACCACATCAAAAATGAAACTGAGTTGCCCGCTCTCAAAGTGGCACACACCTAAACATACTATGTACAACATATGTATACTATAGACCAGTGGTGGCGAACCTATGGCACGGGTGCCAGAGGCGGCACTCAGAGCCCTCTTTGTGGGCACGAACGCCGTCGCCCCAGTCCTAGACCTTCAGCTGGGTTGTTTTTTTTTATTGAAAATTTTTAAGTTTTACAAACTTAAATTATAAATTTTATAAATTATAAAACCTTTTCGCTTTAGGCCTCTGCCACCATGTGCAAAAAAAAAAAAAAAGGTTCAATCAGTCAATTTCAACCTCGTGGGAAAAAAAAGATCTTGCAAAGTTGGAATTAGTCCCACCCAGTCTGCCATTACTACTGCAGCCACACCCAGCCAATGGGCCACACCCACCCGGCACTCGACGATGCATAAATGGGTTTTGGGTTGCAGTTTGGGCATTCAGTCTCTAAAAGGTTCGCCATCACTGCTATAGACCCACCCCCTTACATATACGTAGCAAATAAATATTAAATACTGCCCATCTTGAGTATATAATGGAAGGAGGAAGCTCTCCTGCCTGCTGTGCATTGTGAAGCAGTCAACAAAATAATTGTAGCTGTAGCTTCCCCCCCCCCCCCCGTGGGTGGCAGCAGCAGTTCAAGTCCCAGCCTGTAAAGGCCCTATTTCTGAAGGTAAAAAGTGGAATTAAAGGTTGAATGAGTGACTTGCATGTTTAGATTTAGAATGAAACTTTTAGACCAGTGTTTGTCAACTGGAAGATATGGGGGAGCAGCTCCCAGAATTCCCGGGCCAGCATTGCTGGAAGTTAGAACATAGAACTTCATCAGGGTTGGAAGGGACCTTGGAGATTGAAGTCCACCCATCTTAAAGTTGCCTACTTTGAGAAATTGCTTTAAACAAAGAGCTCTGTGTCTGTTCCTCTTTCTCTCTTATTTTGATATCCCTTGTGGTTTCAGGCCATTTACGGAATTGTCAACCTTGGGATCTTCTACATAACAGCTACCATTTGGACTTGGGTGAGTTCTATATATATTCAGACTGTCATTTCTTTTGAGTCAGGGGCTGTTAATGTGTGTTGCACACCGAGAGGAGAAAAGAAAGTTGATTCCGAAGTGTTCTTTTTGTTTCTGCAAAGAGAGAAGTCTATATCGATCTGTTTAAAATATTGGCTAGGAGAATGAGATTCATATTCAGCTGCCGTCCCTCTGTCCCACTAATCCTACACAGCTGACATTCTGTACATGTTTGTAAACTTGGGAGGCTCCACATGTAACCACCAGTAAACCATTCTTCCATTAGAGCTGTCTTAATCCTTAACAGAAGTGTTTGCATCCAGTTGTGCCCAGCGATCCTGGTTAAAAAGATGGCACCAGCTACAATATGTGTTCCTGCCTATATTTGCCAAATATAAATCTGTGTGCACTTTTCAAACTTCAGACTTTACTGAAATAGTATCTCCAAAGTAGGAGTGTCTCCGAAGGGTTTTACTGTTTTTCCTGGCTAATTTTCATATCATTCTTTTAGGTTGCCTTTGTGTTCAGCTTGATGGTCTATGGGGCTAGTTACCAATCAATGAGGTCAATGGCAAAGCCTACTTTTGCAGAGGGCGGAAGCCTTGCTGATGGCGGAATTGATCTGAATATGGAGCAGGGAATGGCAGAGTGAGTGTCTACACTACCTAAGTCCAGGTGAGCAGGTCCTGCTGCCTGACCGCATACGTAGTTTTCCTTCATAGCCTCAACCAGTGGAGGGACACACTGGTCCTCGGGCTACTTGCATCTCCTTGTGTGTGACCCCCCCAAACCTTTTTTTAATTGAATGGTAAATAACATTATAGAAATAGGAAATTATTAAATGGATAACAGAAGGATAATCGTATTAACAATTGGGTTCTTGGTGTTTACTGAGCTTGGCTGTTTTCTTGCAGATGTTTCATTACCACTCTAGGTAACCTCATGAGTGCATGAGAAAGAGTGGTGTTCAGCAAACTCTAACCCTAAAGCAGTATCTCCCATTGCTGAATATCTTCTACCACTTAAACATTTCTTCCAACGTTCAGTTGTGATCAGCATCCCTACATGTTCTACCTGCTAAGTCTGCTCCTGCCTCCTAGAACACAGGTCGGCAACCTGCGGCTCCAGAGCCACATGCGGCTCTTTGAGCCTTCCCCTGTGGCTCCCAGCCTCCTCTGCCTTTGCAGAGAGAGACAGAGACAGAGAGAGGCAATTGCACTTCCCTGCTTCTCTCTCTCTCTCTCTCTCTCTCTCTCTCTCTCTCTGTGTGTGTGTGTGTGTGTGTCTGGATGTGTGTGTGTTGTGTGTGTGTGTGTGTATGTGTACAAGAGAGTGCACTCACAGTGTCCTCCGAGGAGCTGAAAAGCTTTCTGGGCGGAGCTCCTCCCTTTGCTGCGTCTCTGAAGGAAGCAGGAAGGGCAGGAGAGAGCTAGCTAGCCCAGTTAGGCTGACTCAGGAATTCTGGGAGTTGAAGTTCATGAGTCATAAAAGAGACAAGGTTGCCTACCCCTGAGTTGTTGGGACAACAGCTTGAAGCTTGCCAGGTGAGCAGCAGATAGGAGGGGAGGGGAGAAAGAGAGAGGGAGGGAGAGAGAGAGAGAGAGAGGAAAGAGAGAGAGAAAGAAAGAGAGTGGGGAAGGGGAGTGGCAGACCAAGGGCAGATAGGGAGGGAGAGAGAGAGACACACACAGAGAGAGACCCTTTTGACATCTAAAATGAAGATAACACTGCAAATATCCTTTTTTTACCTGTGTGTGTATGTAATTTTATTCTCTTAAAGCATTCTCTTGGTGATCATTGTTTTAATAGTATGGATATTCCCAAGAGTCATATTTTTACTTTTATTTTTAATGTGTATATGTGTGTGTGTGTCTGTGTGTGTATATATATATATACACACATATATACACACACACACACACACACACACATACACATACACACACCTATAATAAAGGTAAAAAAGGATATATGCAGTGTTATCTTCATTTTAGATATCAAAAGGGTTTTGCGGCTCCCAGTGTTTTGTTTTTGGTGGGAAACGGGTCCAAGTGGCTCTTTGAGTGTTTTGGGTTGCCTACCCCTGTCCTAGAATAAGCAGATAACAAATCTATGGCACCTTCTGTGCAACTGCAGGTACAGATGGTCCTTCATTTACGACCTTAATTTCCGTTGCTAAATAAGTCATGCCCGATTTTATGTCCTTTTTGTCGTAGTGGTTAAGCAAATCGCTGCAGTTGTTGAGCAAATCCAGCTTCCCCACCCCCAGCCATTTTGGAAGATGGCTGGGAAGTTGCAAATGCCAATCTCCCGTCCCTGGGACATTGCAACGGTTGTAGATACATACTGGTTGCCAACTGCCTGAATTTTAGTGGTGCAGCTGTCAGGATGCTGCGGCGGTCCTAAGTTGGAGGACGGGCTTTAACTCTCTTTTTTGTAACTTCAAACAAGTGGTTGTAAATGGAGGACTATCTGTAATTTTCTCCAGCTTCATCGTTCCCAGGTCCTTGAGCCATTCGTCCCAGGACTTCGTTCAGCCTTCTTTGCTCCCAATTGTTACAATCCCAAACGGATCACAATAATCCAGAACTGTGCAGCTAATCCATGATTTCTTAGCATAACCTGAAGCCGTGCCTCTTATGCATCTGGACCAGACAGTTGGAGGGCTTCTCCCCTCTTCTCAGGTCAATCCCGTTCAGGCCCACTTTAAATTTTTAATCCTCCGTAACTTTTTTTTAAGCCAGTCTTTTTTCTTTCTCGGATGGGACATTGGTGAACGAACGAAGACACTGAGACTTTATACTTCTGCTCTAATAAAAACCAGCTTTTTTTTTCTACCCTCAGGCATCTGAAGGATACGATTTTGCTTACTGCCATTGTCCAAGTGCTCAGTTGTTTTTCCCTCTACATGTGGTATTTCTGGCTCTTGGTAAGTTTCTTTTTCTTATTTGTCCACAGCACATTCTTCCCAGTTGTTATCAGGGAGCCGGTTTGGTCTAGTGCAGGGGTCTTCAAACTCGGCCCTTTTATGACTCATGGACTTCAACTCCCAGAATTCCTCAGCCAGCGTGCCTGGATGAGGAATTCTGAGAGTTGAAGTCCATGAGTCATAAAAGGGCCGAGTTTGAAGACCCCTGGTGTAGTGGTTAAAATACCAGGCTAAAAAGACCCTAAGTCCTGCCTTAGCCATGAAACCCAACTGGGTGATTTTGGGCCAAGCCACCTCACAGGGTTGTTGCTGTGGGGAAAACAGGTGGAGGAATTGTGTTGGATATATTCACCTCCTTGGGTTACTTGTAAAAATAATAAAAGGCAGGATATAAATAAACCTTGACAGCTATCAGTCTGTTTGGATGGAAGCCACCCAAACTGCACTTGCACTTGCACTTAATTTTAGCCAGTACTACTTGATACAGCATCTTCTCCCACTGTTAAAAATCTAGGAGATTTTTAATGTAGGGATAGAAAGGCCCATCATTCGTAGAGATAAATGGGATGTACAGTTCCTTAACCATTAAAAAGCCCAGCCAGCTTTTTGCTAATTCTCAGCTGTGCAACTTCGCTCGTGGCCTGCCTTGAAGAGGGTCCCCGTTTTTGTTCCCTCTTCCAGGCTCCGGGGCGAGCACTCTATCTCCTTTGGGTTAACCTCCTGGGTCCTTGGCTCACTGCAGAATCTCCAGCTGCCAATCAAGAGCCCAACGAGAAGAAACAGCGTCGGCAAGAACGCCGGCAGATGAAACGGTTTTAGCTGCGCTCCTGGGCACGAACGCCACGCCACCTTGGGTCTCCCATGTTTATCAGGGATTTGAACCAATCAGAAAACATCAGGGGATTTTTTTTCTCTCTCTCTGCTGGCCATTGCTCCTCTCCTGACATCTGTTCATCCTAAGGCTATATGGCTTGCAGTGGGGGGGGAGGCGGCGCGAGGGGAGAGCCCCAAGCAAATGATTGCTTTTTTCCACCTTATGGCAGGGGGAGGGGACTGCGGGAAGAGGGCTGCAGATGTGTAAATACTTTTCCAAAATGATGCTGTAATAGGAATCGGATGATGAAGGTCTTTCAGTGTTGGTAGCAACGATGCATTAAAAAGACACACGCACAGACAAAACCTTTGCCATGAGCGCGCTTGCAGTGTGCATACGTTTCCTTTGGTCTCTTCATTTACTCGCCTGTTTTCGTGACCACTCTAGGCAGGCCTGGTGCTCTCACTGGAAGCACAAAGCGAGCAGTACGTTCAAACAATAACGGAAGCGAGGGATACAGAGGACCAAAGGGATATTTGGATTTAAGGAGAGATCCCTTCGTGTATTAAAATGCCACGTGGGAGATATTTGAAAGGAAAGGGGGGGGGAAATGAATGCTGTGTATCAACTTGTATTCAGAAAGCGTTTAAAATGGAATCCCGAAAGCAAATATTGAAGTGAAGTATGGGGTCGTTGGTGCTCTCTGAATTGAAGAGAGTTGTCTTATCAGGGCAAGCCACTAGGATATAAAACTAAGAGCAAACCTATTGCCTTTTAGCACTATTACATAGTTTGGTAATGAAATGTCTGCAAGAAAACCACCACTCACAGAGCAGGGGTCTTCAAACTTGGCCCTTGTGCGACTTGTGGACTTCAACTCCCAGAGTTCCTCAGCCAGCGTGCCTGGCTGAGGAATTCTGGGAGTTGACATCCACAAGACATAAAAGGGCCAAGTTTGAAGACCCCTGTCACAGAGCATCAAGGATTCCACCGTTCAACCCTGAATTACAAACATCCTCTTTTTATCAGAAGTGAAGTAACTGGGAAGTAAAGCCAACAGGCCATCCATTGTTCAAAGCACCTTCCACAGCCCCCTTTTGTGGCTTCTGGAAGTTCTCTCTAGGCACATGCATCAAAAATTGGGCTGGGGACGGGGGGAAGGTTGACTGTCACTCTGAAACAAGGCAAACCCTTTTAAAATACAAAAGTATTCAAAATAAAACAAGCCTTGACACTGTGCATGGAATGGTCCAGATAGCTTTGCATCAGTGATCTGACGTCAGTGACCTCTTGGTCCACCTATTGCCACAAAGAAGGCTGCCCACCTGTGTTTGCCAGTTTCTTGCTCCCCCCCCCCTCCCAGCTTCCCTAAAGAGTACCAGAAAAAGCAGGAAATGAGACTTTTGACTTGACAGGAAGTCACATGGGAGATAGCATCTTGCTGCAGTCAAGAAGGGAGAATATTGGAAGTTTAAAAAGAAAGAAGTTTGTTCAATTCAAATGAACCTGATTCAGATCTGCCAAGCCCAGTTTAGTATATTCACAAAAATACCTTCCTTTCTCCCCCCCCCCCCAAATGCAGTTCATAATATTTGTGTGTGTGAATTTCAGGGGCTGCTTTTGGTTTATTATGATGGCTTATCTGGAGTTTGTCTTGAACAGCTTCCAAGATAGTCTAGAAAGGAACTCTCCGTTCACTTGTTTTCAAATGTTTTTCACATTAGATTCCTTCAGCATTCTGGATTTCTTCCAGTTCTGTTCTGAGATTTGTTACTGTTTGCCAGCCAAGTCAGTTTGCAAAAAGGCCGAAGGGTGGGGACTTGGTGTTAGCTGCTGTATTCCTCAGCTGCTGAAGTCGGATCCTGGATTGCTAAGTAAAAAATGCAGAACTGAGACGAGATAAATCTTTCTTTTTGAGGTATTTGCTAATGAAGGTATCCAGGCAGAAATGATCCATCACTTCGGATTATGTTGCCAGAACAGCAGTGGAAACTTTGCTATAATTTAATGTAAGTACCGTTTGTAACAATGCTGGGGATGTTGAGAGAAAATTCAACCAATTAAATTAGTTAAGAGGAAATGGCTCTTTTGTAAACATTGGAAATCTGGCACGCTTGTCAAGATTTTCTGCTCCTGGTTTCTATAACTTGCCTTTCAAAACAGAGGATACGCCATTAGAAACCTTTGTTGTATTTTGGTGGATGTGATTCATACTTCCATTTTTACCAAATCGGGAAGCAATTACTGGTATATAGAAAGGTTAGCAATTGAACTGAGTAAAAGGCAAACTCTCCAATTTTGGATGGAAGGAAGCTGCTTCCTGGGAACCAAAGGCTGTGTTATGTTCAGAGATAAATAACTACTGAGGTTTAAAAAAAAAAAAGAAAGATTACAGTCCTCTAAAGCTGAAGTCAAAGGAGTAGTATCCTGCTTGTCTGAATTAGCAAGTCGAATGGGAAGGCCCCCAAAGGAGAAGCAGAAATTCCAATAGCAAAGCTGTCACTTTGAATGAGAAGTGAAAGCAGGGCTGAACCTCAGCACCAAAAACCAGAAGCCCCAGCCCCTGGGATTTTCAGATGAACATCTAGACCAGGGGTTCCCAACCATGGGTGCTCGCACACCCTGGGGTGCGAAACGATATTCCAGGGGTTGCAAAAACTTGGGTTTTCAAAATTCTAGTGTATGTGCATAATTTGTTGCTGTTTTTTCGAACTTTTGTTAAGGGGTGCGAGAATATATCTGAAGCGTTCTCAGGGTGTGGGATATAAGGTAATTTTGCATTTATATATTATAAATACAGGGCTTTTTTTGTCATAGAACGCCCAGAATGGAGTTCCGGCACCTTTTTTGGATGGAACCTTGTAGGGTAGGCAAGGCGGGTTGTATGAGGTGTGTGAGTTCTGACACCTTTTTTTTTTAATACAAAAAAAGCACTGTATAAATGTAAGCTAGAACTAACGGATCCCTTAATCCAGGGGTCCTCAACCTTGGCAACTTTTTAAGACTTCAACTCCCAGAATTCCACAAGGCTTAAGGTTGCCACAGTTGAGGACCCCTTGCCTTAAACCAATGTTTCTCAACCTTGACCATTTTAAGGCATGTGGACTTCCACTCCCGGAATTCCACAGCCAGCATTGCTGGCTGTGGAATTCTGGGAGTTGAAGTCCACATGCCTTAAAATTGTTAAACTGAATAAGAGAAGGGAAGGACTATGCCCGGCGACTGTGTTAGAAGCTTCTCCCTGTAATTAAATCCTGATTAAAGTAGGATCCTAAAACCTGCAGGAGGACATCCCACCCCTCCTTGGCTCCGTTCAGACGACACCCCCCCCCCCCAGCCTAGCCCTTCGCGCAAAACAGCGCAGGCGCATCCAGAAGAATGAAAGAAGGCGGAGCCCCCGAGGGGCGTGGCGTGGCTGGGCGGAGAGGGCGGAGCTCGCCCGCTCGCTTGCCTGGTCGGTCGCCATGGAGACGGGCCCCGCGGCCTGACCCGCAACGAGGAGCCTTCGGTCCGCAGGGCCCAGCCTGAGGTAGCGGGGCCCCTCCCGGCATGAGGCGGGTGCATGGCTGCCCGGAACCACCGCTGAGCTGGAGGGGGGAAGGTGAGGAGAAGCCCGGGCGCCCCTCCGCTTCCTTGGGGCCGAGCCCTTCCTTCTTTCGGGAAGCAGGAGGCGGGGAGACGCTTCCCCCCTGCCGAGCTTCCTCTTGTCTCCCCTCCCGCCCATCCTCCGCAGCACCCGGCTGCGGACGAGGGGCCAGTCACGCCCGCTCCTCGGAAGGACGCTTCCCCGCTCCCGTCTGGAAAGAGGCAGGCGGTTCCCGGTGGTGGGGAAGGAGCAAAGGCGGGGATGGCGAAGGGGCTTTTCGGGGTGGGGGGGGGGAGAGGAAGGCGGTGATCCCGGCCAAGGGGGGGGACTTAATGGGCAAGCCATCATTAAGCCAACATGGCTTCAGGGCAGTGGGGTGTAGTCTTTCCAACTGAAACGGCCTCCCTGGTACAGCCGCCCCTTCCTCAGTCTTGGCAGCTGTAAAATGGGTGGGCTTCCACAAGTCCACAGAAACCTATATAAGTGCCTGATGGGAGTTGTAATCCAGGACAGGGCAGTCCTCCACTTAAACGGCCACGATTGAGCCCAACATTTCTGTCGCTAGGCAAGGCACTTAGGTGGGTTTTGCCCTGGTTTGCGACTTTTCTTGCCCCCTCCCCTCCCCCCCATTGATTTGGCTGGTTGGAAGCTGGCTGGGAAGGTTAGAAATGGTCCTAACCATGATGTGGGGACACTGCAGCCGTCATAAATACGAGCCGCTTGCCAATTGAATTTGGATCAGGGATTACTGCAAGGGTCGTTAAGTGTGAAACATGGTCATAAGTCTCTTCTCACAATGCCTTTGGCACTTCAAGCAGTCACTGAATGATTGCAAGTCAGCTGGCTGGCTGAGGAATTCTGGGAGTTGAAGTCCACAAGTTTTAAAAGTTGCCAAGTTCGAAGAGCCCCGTTGTAAGTCAAGGATTACCTGTAAATTGGAAGGTATCAATATTGGGTATGTCTGGGTGAAAACATTGACTGTTGTTGATAAAATTCCCTTCCTGGTCTCTGTGTGGCTTTTCGGTAACCATTTGTGTAATCCACTATTTAGTTTGTGGATTTGCAAGGAGTCCTTGCTTAACAACCACTTGTTCAGGAACTTCTTGGCCTTAGGACAGTGCTGAATAAGTGGAATTTACGACCAAGCCTTTGATATATATGCTCAAATGCATTTGCATTTTCCCTCTGAACCATTCTAAATAACTCACCGCTTTTTATGATACGTAGGCAACTATTTATCAGGGAGGAGTTTCCCCTTTTTCTTGGCCTGACACAGAAATTATTGTTCTGGAACGTACTTCACTAGAAATGCGGAAACATAGATCAGTTCGTTGATATTATACATAATGTATATAAAACCCTTTTAATGGATGATTCTTAATTGAAGAGGAAGTGTTGCTTAGCCACAGGATCTGTTTTTTCAAATGAACAACAAAGGAAGCTAACCCAAACCAGTATTTTTGCATGAAACTGTCATGGATCATGAAGAACCGAAAACATGCATCTGTGCATGTCCTTCAAATTCTGCTTTGTCATTTGACCAGTGAAGTTATTGGACAACGTGCCCTTTTCAGGTTTTGTAGCCCAGTTTCGGTGTGTAGAATATCACCGTACAGTCTCCACAATTTAGGAATAGGTGGATTATTATAATGATAGCAATTTGCAGGCAAGGAGTCAGTCCCACAACTGCTGCTCAGTGGGCAAAGGTTATCTAGGACAAAGATTGGTGTGAGATTGTTTTCTATTGGATTGTTTTGAAAGCAAATAATGTTTTTACGGTAGGAAGTGGAATTTAAGCCTTAGGCCAAACAAATAGAGACACACTTTTTCATATTCCCCACAATGCTTCAATCGTTCTGATTTTGCTCATCTTTATTTTATCTGCAGAGAAAGAGACTTTTGGACCTTATGAGAACATTTTAAGAACTACATGATTGGATTAAGGGAGGTCTGAACTGTAAGACTGAGGCAATTATCTTCAGGCTGGGGTAAGGGGGTGATTGGTGGCACTTTTCTAGTTTTACAAGTTTCAGTTAATCCAGATTTAAACTTTGATGTGATGTGTGATGTTTCCCTCTGCTTTCTGTTCATTTGCAGTGTATATCACGTACAGTATAATGGCATATTGAATCTCCTGTTTTTCATTCAGGGGTTTCTTAATGAAAACGTACTGGATGTATTTGCACTTTGTCCTGTAAAAGAGCCTAATGCTGCTTCTCTTTATGGTTATTTATTAAAGTCTGAGTATTAAAAAATGAGGTTCATTTCAAAATTACTTTTTCCCCGTGGGAGAGGCTCTTGATTTGTAATGGAACAATTTCCCTACCTCTTCCAGTACACATGCACACAACATGCAAAGCAGAGCTATTGGGGAATGTGGGAAACGCCATTTGATGTATGTTCAGAGCAACAACTGCTGAGCCCATGTAAGAAAAGTGTACGCTTACTTCCAAAGGGTAGCCTAGCAGCTGGCAGTTCTTAGCCATTTAGTTCTGGCCTAAGTCAGCCTCCAAGGACAGGCGGTGACATTTTCATTTTGGCTAAATGGGTGGCCTTTTCTAAAAAAAACAAAACTGCTTGGTCTCTGTGGTTGCATCGCCCTCTCTGTGAGGCTTTCCTGCACAGAATGTTCCACCTGCAGAAAGCTTTGTATTTTCAGTATGCTTCCTGCAGCTTTTTTTTTCTTTTTTTTTTTAGTGAAAATACGTTTTTCTCCCTTCTTCCTTTTCTGTGTTTTTTTTTTAACTCTCCCTCTTATCTCCTGCAGATGAACATCTGCAGTAAGCCACCTAACAAGACAGCCCCAGAGAAGACTTCTGAAACCACGTTTGAAGTTCAGTCTCAGCATGCCAGGAGAAACGGCTGGAGTTGGCCCCCTCACCCCTTCCAGTTCATTGCCTGGATGCTCTTCTTCTTCTTTGCCCTGGTTGGTTTCGGCATCCTTGTGCCTCTCCTGCCCGTTCACTGGGTACCCGCTGGGTACATCGTATCCTTTCTGTCTCCCAAATGCGGTTATCCCGAATCCACGTGGGGGCCCAAAGGTCACCATTTAGGAATGGCGAAAAACTTCCATTCGGAAAGATCGCCAGTGCTTCTGTTCCCTCCTGCCTGCTTTCCCCCATTGTGTGCATCTTTAAACGGCAGTATACCCTTGTCATAATGCTGGTAGCCCTCGGCTTACGACAATTCGTTTCGTGGCTATTCAAGGTTACAACGGCTCTGAAAAAAGTGATTTGTGACCGTTTTTCACATTTACGACTGTTGCAGCATCCCCAGGGTCACGTGATCAAAATTCGGCTGCTTGGCGACTGACACATGCTGACGCCTACTGACCCCGGGTTGCAGCGTCCCAGGGTCACGTGATCAAATTCTAACGAGTAGAGTCAACAGGAAGCAAGATTCACTTAACAACTGTTTCATTTAGCAGCAGAAATATTGAGCTGAATTGTAGTCGTAAGTCGAGGACTACCTGCATACACAATACTGCTTCTGTTAACCATTCCTTTGGCTGTCAGAATACTTTTAATAACTTTTTGCCTCTCCTGGGCTTTTTTCTGGGCTTCTGTGAAGAAGCAATGATTTGCATTTTTCAAGCTTTTATTTTTTTTTTTCTGAAAGGATTTTTAACCCTTGTGACATTCTTTTCCATGGAAATTTAAGAATATTGATAAATCTGAGAGACGAGCCTTAACTGTCCACGTTTAGTGTCCCGGAGTCTTCTTTCTCTGCCATCTAGTAGTTCACCTTATAGCAGTCTCCATTGACCCAGCCGATGACAGTGTGCGAAAGAAGAATTACCAGGGGCCACTGACTGCGTTCAATCGCAGCCAACATGCTCATGTCATTGAAAATCGCCACTGTCACATCTGTGATGTTGATGTGTGAGTATTTGTTTTGCCTTCCTTATGTGAGTTTATGAGTGAACTGCACCAATTCCTTTCTCGGGCAACCATCAGTGTTGTACAAACCAGTCAGTACTAGAATAATAGTTTTGAATTATAATATAGAAGATGGATTCAGATGATAAAGGTTATTTTATTAGTAAGTGATGATATTAGGATGAGAAGTAGAATATGATTGTGAAATAAAGTAAGAATTTATCTGAATAAATAATAAGTGTATTTTAGATATGATAACTATTTTGTAATGAACTAAGGGAACCGTAGGCTATCCAAAACCTAAATACTATGGACATTAAGCCAACTGGAATACTGTAACTGAAATCAGATAAAAGTTGAAAACAGGATATGGAGGCCTATAAGTCAAAAGATATTGATAAATGTTTCAATTGATTGGGTTATAACTAGCAATGTATTAATTTGAATGTGATATAATAACCAAGGGAAACAGAGGAAATTTTTGATGATGTAACCTGACATATGTATGAAAGAGCTTGTTATTGGACTATGGATTACCCAACCACCATGTTGCTGCCTTAATACCTGGAGCTTTGTGAAATTAGAAAATTAATAAAACTTGTTTAAAAAAAAGAAATCTCACCGAAAACTTCCAAGTATTTTACAGCTATTGGTATTATATAATGCCTTGGTTTACTGTCACCAGGCTGTAATAGAACTGGCTGGATTCACATGTCATGCTGAACATGATGGGGTTTGTTTGGTTTTGGTTAAGTGTATTGTGTAAACACGAACATTGTGTTTTGTCAACTGTGACTCGTGGCTTCGTCTGTTGTATGAACCAGTCAATTGTATTTATTCTGTAAGTCATGGTTAAACAAGCAGTTTAGCATAATAGATGACTCAACCATGACCTTGTGAATTAAATAACCACTTGGGGTCTTAAACAGTGTGCCCAGCAGTGCCTGTTCCCCTCATCTCTGCACCTTTCCTCCATCAATAGCTACACCCATGATTTTTTAAATTAGCTCAATTCTTTGTTTCTTCCTTGCTTGATGCCAAGTAACTAAATTGTGCTGGTCACCAGAGATCGCTGGTAGTGCAGTATAGTGGACAAAATTTTGTAAGACCTGCTGTTTTCACAATGCACAGTTCCTGCATTGATATTTTGGTTACAAGATCAAAAAAGTTAGAACAGTCCTACTTAGAAGTGCAGGCTTGATGAATGTAAGTAAATAAAAGCTCATAGTTCTGTGAACTCACATGCATTTTAGTGGAATTATTTTACATGTAAGAACAGACTTAATTGGAAAACATGCATTAATTGGTTCTTTCCTCTTTTATTTTTTTGGTACACATCTAATTTAGCCCCTTAAATTAATCTGGGGAAACAACTGCAGAGTATAATTAGCTCCTTTTTTTCTCTCTCTGTTTTATTATTAGGAGCTCCAGATCAAAACATTGTGGGTCCTGTAACAAATGTGTATGTGGCTTTGATCATCACTGCATGTGGCTCAACAACTGTGTGGGAGAGAGAAATTATTGGTATGGTTTTGTCTATCACACATTAGCCCATTAAGCAAAGCCTGTGAACATCATTTGAACAAATCCAGCACCTTTTTAAAAGCTTTTTTTTCCCAGCTTTCGCAGCCTAAATATCTGTTTTCCATTTTCAAGTTGCATGACATTATACAGTAGTGGCCAAAATTGCGGAAACCTTTTGGGAAAAGTGTACAGTAGAAATGCCACCTTTGGTTACGTTTCCACCAATTTTTCTTCTAACTTATTTATAACTGTAGCCTTGTTCACTTAATAATACTATTTTACATCGCTTTCTGGGCAACCAGTCAACTCTTTGCACCATGACTTTAATTTTATTACGTTTTACACGCTCACTAAATGAAAGAACACAAAAAAACCCAACCGACTTGATAGCGATCACATAACACACGACAAATGTCCTCCTCTCAGCTTCAATACAGGACATCAATAACTGAATCCTACTATGATCTGATTGACTCATGGCCAAAACAAGATGACACCCGATTGGCTCTCTAAACACTCGTGCTCATTGGCTACAATCGGATGACAGAAAGCTACCTGATATCAACCTAAGCAAGTTGTGTTTCCTTTTTCTGGTTATTTGGCTACAACTTTTCATAGAATACAGTACAGATAATAGAACAAACTATGTTGCATTACATTCTTGATTAAATTATCTTTCCATTGATATATAATTTTATGGAACTACTCAAAAATCAGTGGTGTTATTAGCCATCAAACCTCAAAAATACCTTTTTCCCAAAAGGTTTCCACAATTTTGGCCACTACTGTAGGGAATATACTTAAGATCATAGTTACAAATATATAAAGAATACACATTCTAGAATCGTAGAGCCTTGTATTTGGGACTTTTAGTCTAGATGCTTGTTTTTGATTCCTTGCTGAGATACCTGGATGTTCTGTTGGTGATTTGACCGGTCAAAACTAAGCATTGTATTCTTTGTGCAGTGTTGAGCCAACCTGCATTGGATGTGATAAAAATGGTTTGTTCCATGTAGACTTCTCAAATTAGAGTTCCACTCTCGAATATGCTATACTGTAGATGTCTCTGGCTTTCATGGGAGCCCTTAACCCTCTTCTGCTGAGCTAGACAAGCAAAAAAGTATAAGAGAGTCAGGCAGGAGTGTCGCTCTCACTGTACGGATAGTCCTTGACTTACACAGTTGAGCCCAGAATTTATGCTGCTAAGTAAGATGTGTGTTACATTTGTTAAGCGAATCGCTGCTTTTCTGCTGCTAAGTAAGATGTGTGCCACATTTGTTAAGCGAATCGCTGCTTTTGCTCATTTAGTAACACGGTTGTAAAGTGACTTTGCTTGTAAGAAGGTCGCAACCGGGGATCACATGACCCCGAGACGCTGCAACCGTCATAAAAATATGAATCGGTTGAAAAAGCCTCTGAATTTTGCTCACATGACCGTGGGGAGGCTGCAATGGTTGTACGTGTGAAAAATGGTCATAAGTCATTTTTGTAAGTGCCATAAGTCATTTTTTTCCCCGTGCCGTTGTAACTTTGAGCAGTCACTAAATGGACTGTTGTAACTCGAGGACCACCTGTACATCGGTCAGGGTTAGGAACGGCACAGTTTCTTTGCCCGAGATGCTCATTGCTAAATGTGACAGCCATGGCTGAAAATTGATTTCCCTTGTGTTTCGTTATGAAGATGCTAAACATTCCTTTGTTTCTTTGACAGGCTGTTTCTGAACAGTGTAATATCTGCCATCCTGGGCCTTCTCCTAATCTTGCTTGTTGCTTTCTATGTCTTTGTTCAATTCTTCCTCGATCCCATGAAGTTACGCACTGGACGTCCCTTTGAAGGTACCTTCCCACAACCTGCATGGAGGAACTAGCCCATCGTGGCAATTTCTCTTTTGTCTCCTTTGATCTTCTTGCTCAGAAGCCCCATGTTGATAAGTATCCAGATTATCAATCACTGTTACACACTTGTTTCCTAAGAAAAGATATCCAAAGTTTGGGCAATCTAGATATTGCCCCAAGGCTTGACGACCCATTCAAGTGATTTGCACAAATATGGGGTGATGAAGATTCAACTCCTCCTCTCTTTTTGGTCTGTTTCCTTTTCTAGGCTTGAAGAACCAAACAGATGTCTGGTTTGTGTTCCTTCCTCTTGCTCCAATTAAGACAAAATCACCTGCAATTTTGACTTTGGCTGGTCTGCTGATAACTCTGGGGTTACTGACTCTGTTCCTGTTGGGCCACCTGTTAGTCTTTCATATTTATCTCAGTAGGTACCCCTTCTTCTGGTTTTCCTCCTCACTTCAATTAAACTGTGCATTTCCTTCCTCATACATACATCTGTACACTTTCACATTCTTGGTGTGAATGCGGCTAGAAGCATTTTGTCTTGAGTGAAATTTCTGTGTAAGTATGTAAGGTTAAATAAGGTGAAGCCCAACATACCCAAAAAGCAATGAAGACAGTGATTTGGCGAACCTTTTGGAGACCGAGTGCCCAAACTGCAACCCAAAACTCACTTTTGCATCGTCGGGTGCCGGGTGGGTGTGGCCATTTGGGTGGGTGTGGCCCATTGGATGGGCGTGGCTGCGGTGGTAACGGCAGACTGGGTGGGACTAAAAAGTTCAATCAATCAATTCCGACTTTGTGAGAACTTTTTTTTTCCTCACGAGAAGTTGAAATTGACTGATTGATTGAACCTTTGTTGTTGTTTTTTTTTTTGCACACGGCGGCGGAGGCCTAAAGCGAAAAGGTTTTATAAAACCCAGCTGAAGGCCTAGGACTGGGGCAACGGCGCGCGTGCCCACAGAGAGGGCTCTGAGTGCCGCCTCTGGCACCCGTGCTATAGGTTCGCCACCACTGCGCTAGGCCATTGTATCCAACTGGATTACTGTACTTCAGTTACATATCTGCAAACATTACTTGTCTGAACTGGAGGATTTGCATCCAATGGTTACTTAACCATTTCTGATTTAACAGGGACTGTAGTATAACCTCGTTCATTAATAATCAGCAAATCACTGATTTAAATAAAGTCTTTTTATTCCCCCTCCAAAGCACCGTTTTGAGCTCTTCCGTCGTAGCGTCTTAATTCATGTCTTCTTCTAGGGACTTTGAAGTGAATTAATTTTCTGTCCTTCTCTTTAGTGTGGCACCGGATGACCACCTATGAATATATAGTCCAGCAGCGTCCCTCTCAAGAAGTGAAGGATCCTGAGAAGCAGCCGGAATTCTACCCTCCCCCAACAAAGCCCATTCAGGCAAGGCTGCAGCTTTTGTTTAAATAAAGGCGTATTTCTGACACACCCAGAATGTAACGCATTCATAATACTTCCATCTAACATCGCTTTTTTATCTGTAAAGTCTGGAGCTTATGTATTTTCCCACTGTAGGAGATAGAGTGGGGCTTACAGACTTTATGCTGTTATTATAGCAATAGCAATGGTACTTACTTACAGTATATACCACTTCATAGTGCTTTACAGCTCTCTCTAAGCAGTTTACAGAGTCAGCCTATTGCCCCCCCCCCCCCAACAATCTGGTTCCTCATTTTACCGACCTCGGAAGGATGGAAGGCCGAGTCAACCTTGAGCTGGTGAGAATCGAACTGCTGGCAGTCAGCAGAATTAGTCTGCAATACTGCATTCTAACCACTGCGTCACCATGGCTCTAGTGCATTATGAGAGCTAGTGCAAGAAGATAATCATTATTTTTTTTATATTATAGTAAAACTATTATACAGTCATAGTATCTATAGAGACAATTCCTTTGAATTGATCCATCCTAATTAAATCTCAGAAAAGCACAATGTCTTTTCTTGGAAATCAAATTGGTTATATGGCCTAAGAAAGTAATCCAATTATTTGGACATGCTGAGATCTTCAGCACCCAATGAGGGTCCATATCTGCGCTGGCTCATTCTGTTTGTTAGGTGAACAGTTGGATAAACCAGCCTAACTGTGAGCTGAATGCAAATAATAAGCAAATACATAAGCAAAGCTACCCTACCTAAGCTAAAACTGAGTTGCTAAACTGAGTGATTTGTGATAGAAGAATGCATTAAGCACTTGATATTGTTACTCCTTCCTCAAACATTCCATTTTTATCAAGTGAAATAGAAACAGTAAACAGCGCAATACTTTGTTTCCAGAAGCACAGAGATAGCATGCGTGGACTTTGCTACACCTTAGAATATCCTTGTAGCAACATACTAAAGGCTGAGATTTAGGGACTGGCTCGGGGTCTCCTCGTGATCTGCATCACCCCAGTGTGTATTTAAGCCATGTTTTCCACAGTCCAATGCCAACACAATAATCATCATATCTTTCTAGCTGTTTTGAAGATCACATGCAAATATGAGGCTGCTATGGTTTAAACTGAGGCTTCTTTAAATTGTGGGATGCATCTCCTTGGAGCAATTTGAAGGAAGGGAGGTCAGTTTTTTTTCAACCATCTGATCAGGCTTGTCTAGGCAATGCTCCTGATTTTGTCTGTGCAAAAGCTGCAGCAGGCCGTTACTAAAATAGCTTGTTTGTTTTAGGATATGCCATTTTATGCAGGGAGTCTTGGATATACCAACCCTGAGGTGCAGGTGGAGAACTCACCAGGATTACCATCTGGGAGAGAGTAAGTAGAATGAAAGCAAAGTTAGATTTCCCTGAATTTGTTACAGTGGGCGATGTGTTTTGCATTGACAGTAAAGTTTATTTTAAATATTTTCTAAGCTTCTTAGCAGTCACACAGCTTTCTTAACAGTAAATACAAATGTGAATCTATATCTCTGTTTGGCTTTTGTTGCTAAGAAGAGGAAATAAAACTAAATCAGCAGCAATACTAAGAGGAGAATTCAGCAGAAAATAACAGCAATAAAAACAACATTAAATATCATAGCAAAGAAATGTTAAATAATACTGAGTGGCCTAAATTCTGCAAAAAAAAAAAGGGGGGGGATTTTATGTGGCCTTGCTCATGGTAAATTGATAATGCTTAGGGTTAAATCAGGAGTGGGCAGCCCACAATCTCTCTGTGATCCTCCACCATTTTTTCTTTGGCCCACATACTTACTCCATTGGCCAATGGATCTTCCTCCTCCGTTAGCCAGTTCAAAAAAGCAACATAGCTGAGAAGGAAGACAATTGAGAAACCAGTATTTTTTTTTTTAAATTAGGATGATCCGTATAGTAATAGCAGTGGGAAGTCGGTTATTTGTACCAAAATGTTAACCCTCCCCAGCTGGGCAATCTTACGTAAGCAAGACCTATGCAGACTTTACATCTTGGACTGTGATCAAGATAAATACAGTTTATGGAAAGTGTGATGGGATTTTCCCACATTCGTTTTTTAAACGGGGTCCCTGTGAGTGTTTTGCAGCATTTCTGAGATGTCTCCTCATTGGGCTAAGTTGTTATTTATGAAGGGGGTCAGTACAAGTCCGCGGCATGCCAGCAACCGGTCCGCACAAACAAGCAAAGCCCCATCACGCGAGACGCAGGCAGCACACAAAACCGCGCACCCTCCGGGCCGCGGAAAAACCTCTCTCTAGGGAACCGGTCCCTGGTGCCCAAAAGATGGAGGACCTCTGAACTGAGCTATCAGCTGACTTGCCCACTGTCCCTTGATTGGTACCTCTCTCTGCTCTTCATTCTTTTCCCAGCCCCTCTACAATGACTCACATCAGGCTACTGGGAGGAAGCAACTAATTGTTGCTAGGTGTTCAAATAAAACTAATAATGTAAGGCCATCTTTATGGTCTTAAGCATGGAAGCTTCTCAGCTTGACTGGTATGTGAAGAAGAGTCAGTGCCCTGTCTTCTGTTTCAGCCTACCCAAGTTTTGTATCCGCAGTGATGGCATAGACAGCAAGACCATGTCCTCCTCCGAACTTCCAGATTTGCAGTCTGGGGACCAGCGACAGGTAAGAGTTATGTAACCGAAGTTTAGCCTGATGGGTTACATAATACATTGATGTGACCGACTGTGTCCCCCTAGGATACTCCCCACTTCATCGGCAATTAACAATCTTTCATGGCTTGTGAATTTGGCATTTCCTATTCCATGCATGTCTTGTTTAGTTATTTGTAGAAGAGTTGTTACTGTGTTTTAAGCCAGCAAAAAAAAAAATACAGAACTGTTTCTTTGTTGCCACTGTAAGAAATAAAGATTTTGGTGTTGTTAAAAATGTTAACCATCTTGAGTTTTGTAGCCAAAGGTATATAATGCTTCTTTGCTCCTCATGCTTTAATTAAAACTATGTAGTCATTTTTTAAAAAAGGCTTTATTTCGGAAATAGGAGGAAAGGCTAGTTGCATTTTAAAATCAGTGTCACCACACTAATTGCAGCTAATAGCTCCCTGGCACACCTTTTAAGATGTGTGGACTTTTAACTCCCAGAATTTTCCCCTTCACCCTTGGATTCTGGGTGTTAAAGTCCACACATCTTAAGGTCCCCAAGGTTGAAAAACAGTATATCTATAGATCTTTATCTCACCTCCCCCCCCCCTCCATCCCAGCCTTAACAATCTAAACTGGAAAGTAGTGGCTACGCCAAGATTCTTTGAGAGTCTATTACTGAGAAAATACTTGATTTCCCAAACTGTCACACTTTGCTGAGCAGAGTTTAAAAGGGTAAAGTTGTACGTGCATGAAAATTGTCACCGAATTCTTTGGCTAGAAAGTATCTCACGCCGTCTCCTTCATATTATATTATAAGAATCCTGTAAAGAAGAGTAGATGAGATAGTCCAACTAAGCTTCATAGCTGAGTGGAAATTTAGACTGGGTTGTCTGATAACTGTAATCAGTGTAGTAATTGTTGTTAATTGCGAAGTCATGTCTGACCCATCGCAACCCCATGGACAACGTTCCTCCAGGCCTTCCTGTCCTCTACCATCTTCTGAAGTCCATTTAAGCTCACGCCTCCTGCTTCAGTGACTCCCTCCAGCCACCTCATTCTCTGTCGTCCCATTCTTCTATTGCCCTCAATCTTTCCCAGCATTAGGCTCTTCTCCAGTGAGTCCTTCCTTCTCATTAGGTGGCCAAAGTACTTGAGTTTCAACTTCAGAATCTGGCCTTCTAAAGAGCAGTCAGGGTCGATCTCCTCTAGGACTGACCGGTTTGAACACCTTGCAGTCCAGGGGACTCGCAGGACTCTTCTCCAGCACCAGAGTTCAAAGGTCTCAATTCTTTGGCACTCAGCCTTTCTTATGGTCCAACTTTCACAGCCATACATTGCAACTGGAAAAACCATGGCCTGGACTATACACACTTTTTTTGTATAGTAATCTAGTGTAGTAATATTGATCCTAAATGAACTCCACTTTGCTTTATTGTGTAGCTTCAGAAGAAGAAAAAGAAGAAGAAGCGGAAGAAGTTGCAGAAGGGTTCCTCCTCTGTGTTGGAAGAAAACTCCAAGGTGATACTTGCCCCGTGGACCTCTCTTCCAGTTTTACAGTCAGGTAAGGGTTAGGCTTAGGCAGCCCAGAAACTCCATCCTAAAGGTCTCATGGGACCCCTTTTTGCTTAGCAAAAATCTTGGAGATTTAAATATAAAGCTGCCAAATGACTTGTGAATAGCCAAGTATTTCTAATAGCTTAAGTAGAACAAAGGTACAAACCTCGTTAACTTTTCCCTGGCTCCTTGCTGCCGCTCGCATGATCTCCCACAAGCCCCATTGCTGAAAAAGGAGAGAAGTAACCATTTCTGCTATCCTCTCCTTCCTCCCTTGTTTTCAGAATCGTCCTTCACCACCGCCCCCTCTTCAGCCTCCTCATCTTCCAGCCTCCGCCCCCTTGCACCAGCCAGCCCTCCTAAAGCAGTCGTACCCACCGACAGCATGGGCCCAGTCCAAGCTGCAGGCCCTCCAGCTGATTATCACTCCGAGTCAGCAGAGTCCATGGAGGAGATCCCTGTGGCTCAGACCCGTCTGGGGAGCAGTGCCACAAGTGGAGCTTCCAACAGCGGCACTCGGCGTCTTCCTTTTCCCGCAGCCTCCTCGAAGGGCGCAGGGGAGAAGCACCGAAATGCTGGGCACGGCCCCAAAAGCAGGAACTCTCAGCCAGCCCGGGCCCAGCCAGCAGAAGAGCTGGAACTGTCTCCGAAGATCCCGGCTGTGTTTGTGAGCAGAAGTAGCGGGGAGCCTTCCGTCCCCAATCTCTGGTCTGGCGAGACCCCGTCTGAACCTTCTCACAGAAAGTGTTCCAGCAAAAGGCACATCGACGATCAGAAGTACCACGTTTGGGAGTCAGGCACCGGTTCGACAGCAGCCTAGACGCCTGGTGGCCTAAGAGCTATAATAGTCGAGAGAGAAGCCATAGTGTGTGGCCTGCTCACTCTCCAAATATATTGGTGTTCATGGATTGACTCTCGAGTGATCTGTCTTGCTCTCTGGAGCAGGCTGGTATTTGGCTTATTATTCATGCCTTTTATTCACGGGGAAACGGGGGCCATTCTTTTCCCGCTGTAGTTCACGGAGATAAATCATTTGCCTCTGGAGGGCAGCCAAAGGGTAGAAGTTAGCAGTCTCCTTAACAGGCATACCCGGGGTTTGAAGATTTCTGGGCCGAGCTTTGCAGATGCTTAGATTTATAACCTAAGCTCTTTTATAGAGCTCAGCCAAGCAAGTCTGCTTCCCTGGAGTTCTTTGGGAGAGCCGAAAGGAGCTCTGTTCTACCCCCCCAAGCCAGTGTTTCTCAACCTTGACAATTTTAAGGCACGTGGACTTCAGCTCTCAGAATTCCACAGCCAGCATTGCTGGCTGTGGAATTCTGGGAGTTGAAGTCCACGTGCCTTAAAATTGTCAAGGTTGAGAAATACTGCCCTAAGCAGAGTAGGGAGTCGGAAAGAGTACTCGTCTCCCTTTTGTACTTTCCTCTGGGAAACGTTTACTCTGTGCTTGTGTCTGAAAGGAAGACACAAAAGGCGTCGTTTCCGCTTGGCCTTTCCCTTTCCTCTGCTGCTTATTCTTGCCTTGCAATGCAACCTCACGTTTGGGGTTTTTTTTTTTAAAGGCTGGTGCGGCGCACTTGCATACATTTGGAGAGATCCGAGCCAGTTTCTTCATGTGGGCAACTCCCCTTGAGAACCTCTTCCTTGGTAACCCAAAACTCTTGAATGCATGATGGAACTTGGGGAAGAAGATCCATCCTAAGACATCTCTGGCAGATCTGGGAGCCAGGAATGCAACAAGGCAGTTGTCTGTTTCATGGCTCCTTGGATATTTCCGGGGGCCTTATTTTTACTTTTAAGGAGGGACCGTGCTTGGTATCCCAAAAGTTCCAGGTTCTTCTCTTACATCTAGTTAAAAAGGATTCAATAGCAATCGGCGGGAAAGACCTTCGCCTGCGACTCTGAAGCCACGTCTGGTCAGAATAGAAGACTAGATGGACAAGTCACCTGGCCTAATAGAAGGTAGCTTCCAACATTCATTTAGCAATATTATGGAGCGCTTTGAACAGCTCTGTTCTCAATAAATATTTTTTCTATGCTCTTTGCTAAATGCTTCTCCTTTTCCCCCCCCTTGCCCTGCATTTGCTGATACAAGAAGCAGTTTTGTCAGGATGATCCAATTTGTTGGCTCCTGAGCCTAGCATTTCATGTGTGTAACTCATGACATACTTATTTTGTGGGTTGGAGCTAATGCTTCATCCTTCTTCAGATCACTTTTCAGCTGGTCAAGCTCTACCCCTGTAACGATTCTGATAGACCGGTGTTTCTCAGCCTGATGTCTGGACGTCAACTCCCAGGCTTCCCCAGCCAGTCATGTGCATGTTTTGGAAGTAGGCATCAGTTTTAGTACCCTAAGGTTTTGAGCAAAAGGATCCTATCATTGGAAAAACTCTCTCTCTCTGCTTTCTGGAGAGTTACTGCGTATCAGAATAGAGTTTGTCAAATCGTTACAAAGGCAGGATTTCACAGAATCGGTATAATAGAAATAACCCCCACAACCGAAGCTGATTAACGGCTGAAAATGATTGTAATACAGGACCTGTATTAATGCAGACTGATATTTTAAGTATGCAGACTGCTAGCCACCAAAACAGAGGAATGCAGTGCTCTTGACGGTCAATCTTGCAGCTTTTGGCAGCATGGATATAAACCGCTCTGCAATCCATACCCTTCTGTTCAAGCAGGGGTCATTTAAGGCTTAAAAGCAGCCAAGCTATGAATGAGATGGGTAACTTTATGTTTGAGACAATGGATAGTTAAGATGGGTGGGGAATGGTTTTCAGCAAAAAAAAAAAAAAATGAGGTGGCAGATTTTAACCCTTTGATCATCTCTTCAGTGTTCTTGGGAGCAAGATAGAAATCCAATCACAGACCCTTCCTGCAACTAGCTATGCCTTCAGTTACAACGTCCACATGGGTAATTTATTGACCCTGGTCTGTGCTGGCTCTTTCCTTTGGCTTCTAGAGGGCATAATCCGAATCGTTGTGTGACACACTTTTGGTATGATTGGCTTGCATTAATCTTGGTAGCCATGGTGCCTGCATACTCTTGGCACCAGAGGCTACAGAGATAGATCTGAGGTGACACCAGCGGGCTTGTGATCCTGGAATGTATAGTCTACTCTAGTTGCTGGGCTGCTGCTGCTGCTGCGGCTGCTGGAATAACTTTTGATGTTTTTAGGAGAGCAATTAGTACACATACAGTCCCAGATCAGAAAACCTCAAGTTTGAATACCTAAAAGAAACATAGTAGAGAAAAAATATTCCCCAGTTTGCTCCAAGCAGTGTGCCATTCAGAAAAATGCCACTGGAAACTTGAGATGGCAACGTCTTGGGTTGTTATGGTTCTGTAGCCTTGTTATTGTCCTGTTGTGCGACTTTTGTTGAGCTTATAGCCTGTGACTGCAGTCAGCGGAACCAACTCGGGGTCTCATTTCTGCCCTCCTGCTGTGCTCAGCTGCCAAGCAGAATCCAGCAGCTGCTCCAGTGGCTATACGATGCCAGTTGGGTATCCCACAGAAGCGACTGTCCTTTAAGGTCCCTGCTCAGTGTGTTCCTTTCCTTCGCACTAGCTAGCCTTGCTTCAAGAATTCTTTTCTGTGACTTGGTGAGGTGTCTTCCTCCAGTGATTTCATCCATCCATCCATCCATCCATCCATCCATTCCTTCTAGATCAGTGGTTCTTAACCTGTGGGTCAGGACCCCACTTGGAGTCGAACAACCATTTCACGGGGGTCGCCAAACAACGCAGTCCGCCATTTTTTCCCCCTGTTCCTTAGCTGTGCTCCTCCCTTTTATTCTATTGGCTTTTGAAAGCCAATAGAATAGACTCTTGAATAGAGTCTAATTCTATTGGCTTTCCAAAGCCAATAGGAATTGTCCAGGCTGTCTCTGCCTTGCTGAGCCCGCCAAAAGTCCCATTCTGCAAACAGTGCTGCACCAGTTGAGTAGTCCTTGACTTACGACCGGTTGAGTAGTCCTTGACTTACGACCGGTTGGAGGTCGCGGCATTAAAAAGGCTGAGAACCACTGTTCTAGATAATTTATATAGCTGCCTACACGCTCACAGCGACTCCAGGTGGCGTACAGAGAATAAAAACACAATGTCGAAAAATAATAAAAAAATAGTAAAATAATAATGAAGTACAGGTAGTCCTTGACGTACAACAGTTCTTAGTATCCGTTCAAAGTTACAATGTGAAAAAGAGTGACCGATGACCCTTTTTCACACTTTTGACCTTTGCAGCATCCCCGTGGTCATGTGATTTACATTCGGATGCTTGGCAACTGACTCGCATTTAAGACGGTCGCAGGGGACACGCGATCCCCTTGGGCAACCTTCCGGCAAGCAAAGTCAATGGGGAAGCCACACGCACTTTACAGCCATGTTACTAAATTAACAACTGCAATGGTTCACTTAACACTGTGACAAGAAACATCATAAAGTGGGGCAGCATAAATTTTGGGCTCAATTGTTGTAAATTGAGGACTGCCTGTAATAACCCACCCACCCCTTCGGCGACAACACACACTCAAATCAACCCTTTAATGGGCTCCATCCCTCTCTGGATTCCCCAGGCCCGTTGGCAAAACCACGACCTCAGGGCCTTAGAGTCAGAGTGGAGCCAGTCTGATTTCTGGAGGGATGATGTTCCAGAGGGGCGGGAGCCACCACGGAGAAGGCCCTTTTTCTGGGTCCCACCAGATGCATCTCCTTAGGGGACGGGACCCGCAACTTTCCCTCGCTCTTGTAGTTTTTGCTTTGAAATACCTTGCCTGGTCTTGGTAGCTCAGCATGGTTGGGACTAGTTAATTCCAGCTCTCCCAGCCGAGATGGGAAATATTTAAAAATCCTTAAAAAACAAAACAAAAAAACAGTGGCCAACCATATCTGAAACACTGCCAAGAACATTGCACTTGACTTGAGGGCATCTTCGCTTTGATTTCTGCAGCGGCTTGCCCTTGTGATAAGTGGGGATTTTCCTCTCTGCCTCCCCCCCTTACGGATTTTAGGACTGTGGGTTTCCATCAGCTGACAGGGCGAAACAATGAATAGAAAGCACACACAGCCTTTAAGTAACAAGTGTGGTCATCATCAGCCTTGGGCGCTCCCCGTGCCATTTTCTTTCACATGGAACAAGGAAGCTGTGTTTGGTTTTTTTAGTTAGTTTGTATTTCAGTATCAGGCAGCATTGTGGCAAATCTCGGCACCATCTCTGAGCTTTCTTTGTCCTTCTCCCAATTATCAGGATGTTTCTGACCAGCATTTCCAACAAAGCCTGGGCGTGATGCATTTGGAGAACCCCATGCACACATCTGGATGATTCCCTCCACGGGATTTCTCGTATCGGGTATTTTCCATTCTTAACGAGTCAGTCGCAATTACACGTTTTCTGCCTACAGTTCCAAAAGGAGAAATTGTGTTGATACCAGTCTGTCAATGCACACAATTATTCAGGGTTGGGGAGCCAGCTTTGAGGCACTGGGCCCTGCGCTTTGGCCCAGAATATCCCAAGCTGTATGGTTTATATGGCCTTACCCACCCTAGCAGAGCCTGACTTTCAGCAGGTTTGACATTTGATGGATAGCATAGTAGAAAGTGGCAGTGACAAGAATTGAGCTTTCCTTGAAGAAGATTTGATGGTTATGTGACACAGCACTTGTACAAGAGATTTGAGTCACGCGTTGGCCACTGTGAGAAGAAACGGCTGAACTGAATGGGCCAGGGATCTAACACAGCTGGGCACTGCTCATGTTCCTGGGGAATGTGGATGCTTCTAAGGTTATCTGGTCCCTGCAGCCTGGCTGTCCAAAAGCAATTAATGCTATATAAGAAACATCTATCTTCTTAGAATGCTTTTACTGTTAACGCGGAATTCTCACAGTGCACTTTCCAAATTGCTAATTGGTTTGGTTGGGCTACTTCAGGGACTATAAACAGCTGGCAGTAGTACAAGCGATTCCTTTCAGATTGTTGATAGGCACTGTACTTACCCAAGTTTTACTACCTTGTTTTAAGAAAGTGGACTTCTCCTGAAATAGAAAGGATATGGAGTTTTAGACGTGTTGTAGCACGTCCAGATAATGGGAATGCAACGTTCAGCACAGTGATAATCATGCAATATCTTATTTAGTTGCTGTGGTTACTGGATTATATATATTGCACAAGTCTCCTCAGGTCGTATATGTTGCACAAGGCTCCTAAGCCATTGTGTTTTGTAGCAACAGCAGGTGAACTAGAGGATGCGGCCAAATACGAGCCCAGAATGTGTGGCCCTGTACAATGTGAGGCTACAGCTTCTATAATACTTAACCAGCTGGAATCAACAGGGGTTTGGTGTCCAGGTTGTCAGAACACAGGCTCATTACTTCTGATTCTCAGTCCTAGTTGGATGAGGTCCAGCTCTTACTCAGATCCTGCTCGGAGCAACCTGCAAAAGGAGACAGTTGGGTCACAGAATGACTAGCCCTGAAAATCCAGGGGTGGAGGTCCTTCAGCATGTTTCGATTGTGCAGCTGAAGAACAAAACCCATTTGCTTGTAGCTTATTCTACCAATTGAGCTGTGATGAATGTGGTTCTAAGTCCAACGCATCGATGAGCAATTCAATTAAGAGAATGGGTTTCAGGGCGGTGTAAACTGGCCACGTCTTCTCAAAGGTCAGCTTGTCAGCCAAGAAGGAAAATGGAAAACTGGCCAAGCTGTTTGAACATGGACTTGGCTCAACTTGTCAGCCAGATATGTGGAGGAAGAAAAGATGGGAAATAGGTCTTTCTGGTGATGGAGGGTGAATTCATCTAAGGGGTGAATCTGGATATTGAGTGGATGGTTTATGCCGAGCTGCAACGTTCAGTATTCTTTGGGAAGGGAATCCGTCTTTTCTACGTTCCCTAAGCGTTTCTTTCCACTTAAACACCAGAGATTCCTTATAGAAGATACAGCAGAATACTTACAGTTTGGATGTCTACTTGCTTTGGCCATTAACATCTTAGGATCTGGAATGCCACGGGAGCCCCGGTTCTGCAGTGCCAAAACAAGAGGAAAGACCTTGCTTGAAAAAGAAGGGAAATATCTGCCTGAAAATATGTATCCCTATAAATAATTATGGAAGCACATTCAGAGATCATTTCTGCAATTTCAATAGAAACCCAATATTTCCCCCAATTAAAGGAGGGAAAGCTAACCGGGTGATTTTTCCTGGCTGCCCTATTTGCTGTCCAAATGCTGATGTGTTGGTGAGCAACTTATTTTTCCCTAAACCAGACCAGGCCTACTCAGCGCTTTCAACTGAGAGGAATCCTGTAGTCAGGTGCGTGGGCACCCCACCTGCTGAAGGAGGACAGAGGCAGCTAACCCAAAAAAGCCTTTTGCTCAGAGAAAGGCACTTCCTGGGTAGAGGGGCTAGGTGACCCTTCGGGGACCAAAGGATGCTCCAAATGGGCTGGGTGGGGTGGGGTGGGATGGTGGATTGCCTGGGGTGCCGCCCCAGTTGCTAACTGCACAGAGCTGGCTGCTGTGGAAACCCTTTTGCTTTCACTACAGCTGAAAAACATTTCCCCCTCGCTGTGTTGTGCAGCCTGTTTGTTCTGTTTTTGGCATGATCTCCCAACGGCATGAAACAATACAGCAGCGAAAGGCAGCGACAGCTCTACCATCCCTCGTCTGTTGACCTCTCCCCCCCCAACCCCCCCCAAGTGGGTTGCTTCCTTCTCTTCCTCTAAACACACAAACACGCAAACACACACACATATACACACAGACATCATTCTTCAGCACCCTAACCCACAAGGCAGCAGCAACAATGCTTTGATCTGGTGTGTTCCCTGATACCATGGAGATTGTTTGGTTCCATCTAAACAGACTTTTTATTTTTTTTATTTTGCCCTTCCGTACTTTTTGTCTTGTTTGCGATGCTCAAGATTCCTAATGGCCTAGGTCACACATGACCTGCCGTGGCCCCACCACTCTTTTTAGGCCTGGAGCTGGAAGGAAGGGCAAGGGCCTCTGGTGAGTGGGTGTTTAGAAGATGAGAAGAAGAAGAAAAGGAAGTGGTGTGCTGATGGAGAGCCAGGTGGAGCATTATGAAGACAAGTGGCTGCTAATTCTCAACCCTTGGGCTGAGCCTTGTGAAGAGGCGAGCAAAATGATGAGTTGCAAGTCCCTCTCTCTCTGCCTGGGAGCAAAATGACGCGCTCCGTTCTTGTTCTTCGCAACAGGAAGAGAGGGTGCCAGCCGGCAGGGCAAAACTCTGAAATTTCTGTTTAACTGCTCCCCGCCCAAATCCAAGGTTGCCATTTTACCAGACGGGAACAAAGCACCGTCCCACCTTTTAGGTGCAGCGCGTAAGGATGTCAGTCTACATGGAGATTTTTAGTCTATTAAAACTATGTTCCATCAGTCATAATTGAAAAGGCACAAAATACATACATACACAAACACACACTCACATATATATATATAAACCTCCACAAATCGTATTGCACCTGATAGGTGATGTTCCATCAAGTCACTTAACAAATGTCTCACTTAGCAACAAAAATTTTGGTCGTAAGTCGAGGAGTACCTGTATAGGTAGTTCTTGACTTACCACCATTAGTAAATGGACCATTCAAAGTTCCCACAGCACTGAAACAAGGGACTCCTGACCCATGTTCACACTTAACGACTGTCGCAACCTCCCCGTGGTCCAGTAATCAAAATTCCGGCGCTTGGCAACTGGCATGTACTTATGACGGTGGCAGAGTGCCGGGATCATGCGATCACCATTGATAACCTTCCCATCCAGCTTCTGATAAACAAAGTCAACAAGAGGAAGCCGGATGCCCCTAGCGACCACGTGATTCACTTAACAACTGCTCAACTGAGGCAAGGCATTTCGTAAATTGAGGCAAAACTCACTTCCCAGCTGCCTCGCTTACCGACGGAAGTTTGGGGGCTCCGTCGTGGTCGTGCATCGAGGAGTACCTGCAAGTGGCTTTTGCCAGACTGAAAGACCACCTGCCCTTGCCTGGACCTTCCTCAAGTAAAAACCATACAGGAAAGGGGCTGACCTGGACGCTTAATCATAACACCTTGAATTGGTCAAGCCTGTCCCAGGACTTCAAGAATGGCCCAGGCCCAGCTGGGAAAAAAAAAAATCACTTTGAAAGTTCCAGGGCAGAAGGAAACGGTATGGAAAAACAACCCTGTGTGTTTACAGAGAAACCGGGGTAAACGAAAAGCGTCTATGAAAGAGACGTTTCTGAGAGAGGAAAAAGCCAGGAGCAATTAATTCCCTCCTCCAAGCGGGTGCATGGGAAGCTCTCGGCTCCCATTCCTCTGCCGGAGGATTTGTTGATTGTCACACCATTTGCCTAACAACAGGGTCATGCCCCCAAACAAAACGTTTACACAGTAGAGAGCTGGAAGGAGACGGGGCTCTGCGGAGATCTTTGCAAACTTCATTCCAGCCTTGGTTACAAGGAGAGGCCAAGTCTGTGAAAACAGGGCAGGCGGACTGAAGAGTCCATTCCACATTCGTTTTTTTCTCACCAAATGCCTCCCGCGCTTTCACTCAGGCGGTCTATGCCACCGGTGGCTGATTTTATTTTATTTTTAAAAAGTTGCTCAATATTCCTCAACAACAACAACATTCTTCAGACTTGCTTAACAGACTAAGAGAGCTGGAAGGGACCTTAGAGGTCTTCTACTCCAGCCCCCTGCTGAAGGAGAAGACCCTATACCAGGGGTAAGCAACCTTGGCTCTTTTATGACCCGTGGACTTCAACTCCCAGAATTCCTGAGCCAGCCATACCTGGCCATGGTTGCCTACCCCTGCCCTATACCATTCCAGACAAGCGGCTGTTCAGTCTTTTCTTAAAAGCCTTCAGTGATGGGGGCACTCACAACTTCTGACGGCAAGTTGTTTCACTGGTTAATTGGGTCTCGCGGTTAGGATATCTCTCCTTAGTTGCAAGAGCCAACACTGTCTGCTGGAGCCTTTCTCTATGCCCAAGGGCAATCGCTTGTGTTGTTAAGCATTTTTTTTCCCCCTCTTTGCCTTTTGTCAAAATGTTTCCCCAAAATAATTTGGGAAGTTTAGAGTGAGAATCCCTGCACTCAGCCTTAGGACCTGAAAGGTATGTCAGAAAAGGACAAGTGTCTTGAAAAACGGAGCATTTGTCAGGTAGTGACTTCACCAGATTGCAGTAGTTTGGTGTCTAGATTGATCTTATCCCCTGAGCAATTCCTGAACTTCTATGCAAACTGGAATTTGGTTAAGGTGCCAACTTTGATGCCTCCTGGAAGTTTGCAAAGCAATGTACACTCCAAAATGTGCACATAAAAGAAAACCTATTAGCAGTTATATATAATTTGTAATATAATCAGGATTAACACATTATATAACAGTATATATGAGAAAGAGCCTGTGGTCTAGAAGTTAATACAGCTGCCTAACATGCACATAGCCCAGGTTCGAATCTCAGAAGGGTATGTCTGGCTGAAGAGAGTTAAGAAGCTCGAAATAGCTACTGTATTCCAGTTCTCCCTTTATTCTTTGTTGGCAATCCAAAATGTGTGTGTGTATATATATGTGTGTGTGTATGTATGTATGTGTATGTATGTATATGTATGTATATGTATATATACATATACATGTATATATGTATGTATGTATTATGTGGGAATAATGTTCCTCATTCTGAATAACCATTTTTATAACTTATGGCAGAGAAATAGCCTAGAGGCTGATATCAGTTTACATTTCTTTGATTTTTTTTTTTAATTTGAAAATAGCCTCAACCAAGAATTTAAAAGCTCAGATGTTCCAGTAAATAAAAATAGCCTACACTGGCACCAAATCTGGCAATTTGAAAGAAGCAGCTTCTGTTTATAATTTAACATGTCGCCTACTCTTGAGTGTTTATTCTCATATTTTAATGTAAACTACTAAGAATGGGTAGATTGCGGCAGGATATAAATGTAATCGATCGGTCTTAATGCTTTGCTAGATGTAGCATCAATAATAGTCTGTTGTATTTATAATCGGTCAAGAATGCATTTGGAAGGTAAAGGCAGATATCCGGGTGGGTGGAGACATTCCTGCTTACAGCACTAAAAGTACATATATATTTATATTATTGAATGTTGCCTAGCATGTCTTTTCCTTCCTCTAGCTATCAGTTACAAGCATTTATGTGTCCCAGGAGACACAGCTGCCAAGAAAGCATGGCTGGCTAGCTTTGTTTGTCTCTCTTCATAAATGAACACTCCACTCCTTTTGCAACAAATCACATTTATTTATTCCTTTGCAAGATGCATCTTTGTTTAATTCTGAGTGGGGTGTGCCCTAGAGATTATCTACTCCAACTTCCCATTCAATGTAGTTTTATATAAGACAATCTCTGGCAGATGGCTGCTCTGTCATTCTTCCATCCTGTCCAGTGGAAAAGATTCACCTCTTTTCTTAGCCGTTAGGAAGATTTTCCTGAGGTTTGAACAAAATCTACAGTATGTGCCTGCCAATTTCACCCAGTTCTTTTTTGAAGCGGACAAGAAAAATAATTGTATTCTACTGGATAGCCTCCAGAAAGCTTCCCTTATTCATTTCGAGATTACATGCATGAAGCTCTTTCCATTGATTTATCTTTGCTTCTTCGTGTGCATGTGGGTGAGCATGAGCAAGCAAGGCCACAGGATTTAATGTTGGCCTTGCACAGCCTTTCGCCTGATCAGTTGAAGCTCCCGCAGATCCATTTGCAGAATTCTGCTGAGCATGGTTAATTTTCATCTCATTTAACATCTGCAATGGCTTAGCATGATTTCGTTGCTGTTCAGTGGCCAAGCCATGCCTGACTCCCGATGACCCCATGGACCACAGCATGCCAGCCTCCCCCCCCCCCACGTCCTCCCCTGTTTCCCAGAATCCACCCAAGCTCATGTTCAGTGTGCTGATGGCACTTTCTAACCATTTCATCCTCTGCCATCCCCTTCTCCTTTTGACTTCCATCTTTCCCAACCTCCTACACAAGGCCAAAGGTTTCCGCTAATCTACGGTTCATTTGCACTGTGTGAACCTAGAAAACGGGACAGGTCAACAACCAGCTGCACCGTAAGAACAGTCAAACACTGCTCCATCTGAATCTCTATGACAGTCACAGCTTCTTCCTCACCAGAGAAGCCATGTCTTGTACCCCAGAGTGATAAAAGAAGGTTTGCAAGCACCACAGTGTGGGTGTGGCCTCTTGCTTCACAAAGACAGTCGGCGAGCATTTCCGTATTTCTTCCACTCTATGGAAAAATCTATGTGGTCTAGGTATGATGACATCTAATCAATCAATAACTATATATATATATTACATAACATGTACCACAAGGTCAGCTCCTCCTAACTGTTCAGCTGCAGTCCACAGTCACAGGAAGCTGCTGCTTCCATATTTTTCTCTCTCTCTTTCTCCCAGCTTGACCACAGCAGTCAAGCCGGGCCTCTAAACCCATGTGCCACAGCGTGGAAAGCAGGCATTTTAGTCCTTGGCATCCCTGCGCTTTCTTTTTTTAAAAACTAAGTTGTTGAGGCTGGTGGGAAAGGCCAGTCAGCCCCGGATTAGTCATTTCCAAGTTGGAGCCTTCGGGGCTGAGGCAAAAGGAGCCCCAGCCCAACCTTTCTGTGTCTAGAAAGGACCATATTGGGAAGAGCGCAAGGAGGCGAGGCTGTTTAAATTGTAAAACGCCTAGTCCGCAGTAACAAAGCTTGCCGCTGTTAATTGCACATCCTCAGCCAAGCCTGCAGGAATTGAAGTCCCCTGCGCAGCCTGGCCAGAGCTTCGGATGCAAGCTTCAGCGGGCCAAACCGGGTCTCTCTCTGTGTGTGTCTGCGTGTAGGGGTTTTGGATCTCTCCAGCTGCCTGCGCCTCTTCCTTCCCCGCGGGACCAGATTCATCCAGTAGACCGCCTCTCTTCGCCCGGCGCTGCAGCAGAGGCTCCCTTGCCCGGGGTCCGGGGCTTGGCGAGCGGAGGGGCGGTGCCTGGCCTCGCCCTACCCGCCCCGCACCCTTGCTGCTCTGCTCAGCCTCCAGCCCTTCCCTCCTTCCCTCCCTCCCCCCCCCAGCCGCCGCGCCGCTGTGTCACTCAGATCTCTATGGAGACGGGAATCAACAGCTGAGCCTCGCCCGGACCGGCCGCCCAGCCTTTCCCAAAGCAAAAGGCGTTCTGCAAAAAGGCGCAGCGAGGTAGACGGCGAGCGGGGTAAGCAGCAGCAGCAGCAGCGCGCGCGCGCGAGCGAGCGAGCGAACAAGCGGGGCAGCCCAGGAGAAAGCGAGGTGGAGTGAAGGACGGTTCCCAGGACGGACGGAGCGGTGGGTGGGTGGGTGGGCTTGCAGTCGGTGTCGCCGAGGGTCTCTCCTTCTGGTCCCCCCCCCCCCAGTGTCGCTGCAGCCGGCGCAGCTGCAGCCAAGCGCCCTGCTCCATCCATCCATCCATCTATCCATCCATCCATCTATCCATCTATCCATCGTGGGTGCAGCTCCAGCTGCGCGCATCCCTTCTCCAAGCTGCAGTCTCTCTCTCTCTCTCTCTCTCTCTCTCTCTCTCTCTCTCTCTCTCCCTCCCTCTCTCTCTCTCTCTCCCTCTCTCCCTCTCTCTCTCTGACCCTCCCTCCTAAAGTCTGTCTGGGCGCGCTCCCTTGCGCATCAGCCCCGTTGAAATCTCGTCCGTAGATGGCGATGGACTGGGGGACCCGTCTCTCTCTCCCCCCGCAAGCCACATTCCCCCCCCCGATTTTGGGTGAAGGCCCCCCCGGGAGGGCACCGTGTTGGAAACAGCGCGCCGGGAAGCTTCCCCTTTTTTGTGGTTTGCAAGGGCAGGCAACACGATGACATCATTTTCGCTCGAATTCGGATTAAGTCGGGATGGGATCTTGCCTTCTTTGTTTTTCCCACCAGGCTGTAGTGTAAATCGTGCAATAGTAGTAGTAATAATAATAATAATAATAATAATAATAATAATAATAATAATAATAATAATAATAATAATAATAATAATAATAATAATAATAATAATAATCTGCTCTTTCTGCAAGCCTGCAAGCCTGTGATTGCCAGGCAGGTCTCTCCCAGGCATCTCTAGGTGCCGAGAGACTGAGCTTGGTTGAATGGTTTTCCCTTAGTTGTGTCTGGAGGTCCGTTTCGTTCCCGTGGATCTGTCTGCTTGTCCCATTGGGTTGTTTAAGAGTGCCGCCGCCTAGGAACATCCTCCTGGGCCCCCCTGCGGTTTATTTGCCTTTCTGGCTGGCGATGCTGCTGCAGAGGAAGCAAAAACATGTCATGTTGAGACGTAGAGGCTTTAATTGCAAATGCAGAAGCTATGCAGGAGGGCTGCTTGGCTCCGTCTGCTGGATGCTTAATGCTTTTTGTTCGAGTAAACATTTGAAAATAGCTGGCTACCCTCTACCAAGGCAAGTTTAGCCTTAGCTGAGCTTTGCCTAGAGATTTCCGCTTATACGTTTTTTTACATTTACAACCTCAGAACCTTTTCATTCCGGACTTGTCTGTCTGTGTGAAGAGATCCTGCTTTGCACTCTGGTTTATTAACCCAAGAAGTGGTCATGAGGCTGGATCCACAGTCGATCCAAGAACTTCAGCAAGTCAATAGACTTGAGATGGATGACCTTCTGTATATGGATCAGTGCTTCTCCAGCTCAGCAACTTTAAAAAGTGTGGATTTCAACTCCCAGAATCTCCCAGGCTGGCATGCTTCCACACCTCTTAAATTGGTGAGCTGGTGAAATATCTACAGAAGAGCATTAAGTCCCCTTTCAGTCCATCCTGGGCAAAGGTGCTTGGCATTCACATTTATATCCTTGCACAAATTGCAAGCCAGACTATGACAAAAGTCCTGGGTGCATTCTTTAGTATCTCAAATTTAAAGGACCAAGCAGCACGTGATGCCACAGCTTGATCCAAGGGTGATTTTTCAAAAGGCAACTGGCCTTTCTTGTTTTTTTCCTTGAAGACCGTTTCACTTCTCATCTAAGACGTTTCTTCAGTTCCGTTAACTGAAGAAGCTTCTTGGCTGCCCCTTTGGGACAACCATGAACTGGATGACTGAGAATCTCCATAGATGATGCCAAGGCTTCTTTGCATAAAACCTTACAAGCTCATTATCAGAGTTGAGGAACTGGAGGCAGAAGGTAATGATCCACTGGTTTGCATTAGACCTGTCCAAGGATTTGTGAACATGTCTATTGTACTGAAAACAAGCACGCAAAGCTTTATTTGTGTCTTAAACCAAGCCATCTACCTATTTGCAGCATTTCTCTTTAAGCTTTGATCCTGGCTATTGAAAACCAACTCTGGTGCAGAGAAACACCTTGTTTTGCAGTTTTGTATCATCCGCCATCTTGAGACATGATTTTGTACCTGGCCAGATCTCTAGACCAGGGGTGGGAAACCGTGTTCTTTTCTTGGCTGCTGAACTGCAGTTCCCAGGACTTTAGCCTGATCAATAGGTCAGCTGGGAGATCCAGTTCAGTAAGATCTGTGGAGGGGGGCAGTCCTCACCCATGCTAGTGATAAACAGACCTGGTCCAGGAAAATTGCTAGGAATGATAGCCCTTCCTTTTGAATTTTTATTCTCTATACCTGGTCCTTGCAAGCACAGGTCAAGTGTGTAAGACAGGGGTCTGCAACCTTGACAACTTTAAGACATGTGGACTTCAGCTCCTAGAATTCCTCAGCCAGCTATGCTGAGAGCTGAAGTCCACAAGTCTTAAAGTTGTCAAGGTTGCAGAGCCCTGGTTTAAGAGTCTTGAAAAGGAATATTTAAGCATCCCGTGTAAAAATGGGCTTAGCTTTTCCTTCAGTCCATCTGCACTTCAATCCTAGCAAAAAATACTTGTTTAATTGGGAGATGCTTCTCGTCCATAATACGTGCTTCTCCTGCTTTTAATGAATCAGTCAAAGATGGAGAAGAGGCAGTACTGTGTTGCAGCCCTCTAAAGCTGAACAGAACTGCAAATGTTTGGACTGGTATCTTCCATTAGATAAGTTTACGTGTTTACGGGTAGCTTTGTTCCCATCAGGGATCGAGGTCAGTAAGTACACATGAGCTCTGCAGATCTGTTCATATTCATACTAGAAAAGGTCACCCGGGAGAAAAAAAAAATAAAAGAGCTTTTCTCAGATGTATCCCAAGAGGGTTAAAGAAGCAAAGCTTTCAGGATGCTCTCCATGCTGCGTCTGTTGCCTTTTGTTTCTGTGTATGCAGCAATGTCTTGGCTGGTCTATGTCAGCCTTTCATAGTCTTCTATCTCCAAGCTTGGAGCCGGTGGAGAAGCAGAGATAAGAATGAATGCATAAACACTTCTTCCGCCACACACATCTAAAGATGGAGTTTGCTGGGTTGCAAATTTATAAAAGAGATCTCCAATATTCGCAGGTCAATTATCTCCTTACCATAGCCATTCCCTATATAAAGTGTATTGCACCTTTGCCCTCCAGAATTACTGGCAATTAGGGAGGGAGAGAGGGAGGGAGAGAGGGAGGAAGGGAGAGAGAGAGAGAGAGAGAGAGAGAGAGAGAAAGAGAGAGAAGGAGGGAGATGGAGGGAGGGAGAAAAAAAAGAGAAAAGACGGAGCAAAAGAGACGATACATATTTATTGTATAATTGTATATGGTTATGCTTATGGGCAGCTTGCAGAGATATAAATATAGACAATCTGAAAAATAAACACCCCCCTGATCAAGCATAGAAAGTTCTGGATTAAAAAAAAAGATGGTTTGAGTTCCTTTCTAGGTGTTAATGAGGACAGGCCAGCATTATGTCCTATGTCAATTTATTTTACAATATAGAACTCAGCAGACACAAACATCTGTCTACTACAGAACTTAATATCTTTGGAGAGGCCCAGGGAGTAAGGCAGTTGTGCAAAATGGGTAAAGCTGCATTATGCACGCGGCTTCAACCAAAACGTACTATGTGCAGGTAGTGTTTTTAGAAGCTATTCTCCCCCCCCCACTTTGCTTGTTAAAACAACATAAAGCTTATTTTAAGATGTAAATTACAGATGTATTTCTTTCCCAAAACAGCAAAAAAGCATACTGCCAATTTTTTGGCAGTCTAGGGGACATAAAGAAATAAATTTGTATCTGAGGTTGGAGAATGACTAGCCCAAAAGATACAATTCCCATGTAAAAGTCAATGTGTTAGTTAATTTTTGTAGCCTGCCCAACTGAAAGAAAGCCAGTGGGCAGGTCACAGCAAGTTAAAATGGTAAATACTGTACAACAGTTAAATAAAGCTAAATTTTTAAAACAACAATAGCCATTATCAATCTTCCTCCTAGTTGGAGAAGTTAACTAGGGCTAAGTCTATCATTTGTTGCAGCACATTTTAGAAGGCATTCAGAAGACCAACATTGCTGGTCAAAAAATCAAAATCCATGCCAAAGACTCAAAACTCTAGGGAGTTTAACAAATTAAAATTTGAAACCAGGATTCAGCTTTTCTTTAATGCTAACCATGGCTTGCTTTGATGAACTAAGGCACAGCAATGGCTTTATTACGCATTTACAAAATTGCAAATACAAAATTATGCAGCTATAATTTTGCCAATTCAATGACATTGTCGAAGGAGAAACGAATGCTAACAGAGGTATAGATGACAACCAGTACTAAGCGTTTCTTAACTGTGGCTTGCTTGTGATCCATCTCTGGAATCTGAAACGTGGTTTACATTCTTGGTGACATGATTGTTAGTGCAAACAGTGGGTTTGGCCTGATGTCTGAAATGAGCTAGCGGCTAGCCTATTGGGCGGGGAAGCCCTGCCAGTGAATGTTTGTTTATGTATCCAAGAAGTTTGGAGAAAATGCAACTTGCCCAACGGTGTGAATTAGGCAATCTGCTGAAAAAAAAAAATCCTGTGTGTACCTTGAACGGGGTTTGAGGAAGAAAGACAGTAACTAGGAGCCACCCTCCACAATGTAGCTGGTTTACTATTTCTAGCGCAATCATCAGTGTGAGGATCACAGTCTTTTTGCTCGCATGCAACACATGCAGTATGAAGAGGAGCTGCCATGCATGAGTTTGTGTGACACGTGTCCCCTAAATATTGAAGGACTTGAATTGAATGGAGATGCAATTAGATGCTCCCATTTAAAAAAAAAATGTATCTTTTACAGAACCCTGTCCAGATCCTTGTCTGCTTTTGAAAACCACAAAGATTTTTTGTTTTTCCCCATGGAAAACTGTTTACCCAAGCATGCGTTTGAACACGCATTGCATTCACTCCACGCAGTCAGTAGATTTGGTTGAAGAAAATCAAACAAAACTTCAAACATTTTTGATTGGGGGCGGCCCAAAAATTGGTTTTTAAAACGGGTGGCTATATAAATGTTTTAAACCAATTAAAAAAAAATCAATAAATATATGCTCCCATTTCCAGAGCCTTTGTGCATAAAGGGAAGCCAGAGGTCTTTAGGAAATTAGATCCGGGACCTGCAATGGAGGGACTGAGCAGAATTCGTGCAGTGTTTCTCTTCCTAGCTTTCCAGTGTAGCCACTCTGTTTCTGTGTATGCAGGAATGTCTTGGTTGCTCTGTGTCAGCCTTTCACAGCCTTCTGTCTCCAGGCTTGGAGCTGGTGGAGAAGCAGAGATAAGAATGAACGCATAAACACTCCTTCCGCCACACACATGCGCACGTGTCTCTGGGCAGAGTTCAGGACACCTCATCCTCCCTACTGCAAGAGCATCCAAAGATCACAACCCACCCATAGCAACCGTCGCCAAGCAACACAAACTCTGGCCACACCAACAGCCAAACGCACACGTCTGTTTTTGTTTAATGTCAGGCTGTAACTATGGCCTTAGATGTGGCAAAATCCCACGCTGGCTGGTGCCCTAACAGGGGGAAGCAGGGTGGCTAAGGGCAAATGCTCAAGAGCCACGGACAGCGTGATCCAGGGCACAGAGATTGCGAACCCTCTGCTGATTTCTCGCAGGCAAATTAGTACCTTGGATAGCCTCCCTTCCTGTCTTGGACAGAGGTTGGGCAGAGGGAGGCAGCAGATCTGGGACATGAAGCAAGGTAGCTAAATGTTCCTTATAGAATGCTTTTTTCCTGCCAAAACTTTTTTTTTTTTTAGCTCACTTAGATTATTTGGCTCCCTTTGGGCAACTGGCAAGAATTGAGGTGGGGAGGAGACCCCCTCCAACTGCCACCTCCAACTGCCCAAAGTCTCAAGAGAGCCACAGAAGAGATCTTCACCCAGGACTCAGCGAGAAAGTAGACCTTTACCTGACCTGACCCTGGGTGTAATTCTTGAGTGGACTTTGCCCATCCCTCTTGGAGAGCTGCTTGCACAGCTCATAGGTTGCCTGCTGTTACAGAGAATCCAGTCTGGAGGCCAGAAGCAAGAATGAAATCACTTGCAGGGCAGTTAAGCATACAGAAGAAGGGCTGGTTCTTACGGTTGATCAAACATAGGTGGCAACCCTGGAATTCTTTCTGGGTTTTTTTTTTTTTTTTGTTTTGGAGGGGGCCCATGGAGACAGTGGAAGCCTCAATGACTTTTCTCCTGGAGCCCAGAAAGAAACCAAAGGACGGATGGCTTCTTTCTGCTAATGGTTTCTCCCTCCCTCAGAGTCATCTGCTTCTCCATTATGAATTCAAGCAAAAAAGCCATTGGTTCGCCAGAAGAATACAGGGCAGTATTTGTATGTGTGTGTAAAAGTGTATGTTTATCAATGCACTGATATATACACACAGCTCCCAAATCAGCCTCAGATGTGGCTCTTCCGTCCAGAATTTAAAGTAATTCTTGCATCATAACAAAATCTGAGAACCACCCATTAATTATTATATAGTGGTTTTACTATAAAGTGAAACACAAATGTTTGATGCTTACACAATTTCTGAGTTGGTTGAATCCACTGAATCAATGGTGTGACATATGTTGCAAGCCTCACATCCTAGACAATTTCTACTTAGTGGCATTCCAGGTTGCCTCCCTTTCAGTCCAATATATAAGGTGTTTTTTTTTTCCAGTGTAGCTTTTTATTGTTTCTAGTTTTTACAATATATTATTTCTTTAGCATAATTGCAGGTTATGCTTTTATTTTAGTTGATACTTAAAGAAGTAACACCACCGAGAAGCAGAGAAAAAAAAGAAAAACAAATAAATAGGAAAGAGGGTCACAAGGATTATAAAACTGAATGAAATGGAATAACAATTTCGAGATAACATGCTTTTTGCCCTATGATTTAAGTACCTTACACCATTTAAAAGCTTTAAACCATTGTTAAAATCAAGTTAAGGTGCAATGTTGGGTGACAATCATTGGTCAGATATAAATTATGAGTTAAAATAGGGGTTATAATAATTTATGTCTAAAAAAATATGTAGCAAATCAAAATCTAAGTTATTGGGTTCTGATGTTAGAAAAAAACCCCAAACTTTATATCTGAATTATAATTAAAAATGGTTTCCAAATTCAAATGGATGGTTATTTTGGACATCAAAGCAAATATACACACAATTAATTTGTGTGGAGGAAAACATATGCAATTTGCAATAAGAAGCAACCTTTCAATTTAGTACCGAAGAACATTTTTGAATAATTTCTGTCTTGTTGTGTTTATTATTCATTCTGTTTTTGATTGCTCTTTATATAACAACTTGGAACAAAATTGCTTTTCCTTGCTTCGAGCAGAGGGGTGGAAATGAGAAAGAAGTAGAATTAGGCTAAGCATTAAGAATAACTTCCTAACAAACCCAGAGCATTAATTTGAACAACGGGACAGACCTCCTAAGGCGATGGGGAATCTTTTTAGTGGCGATACGTAAGGCAGGCACCAGCAGCCTTCTGCCCGGAATTCAGGCAGAATTAAATAGGGCCAATAAATAATATTTCTCTGGCTCTGATAAGAAATTGCATTCTGTTATCTAAGATGGATTAACCTGGGCATTTTCATATGCACAAAAACTCCGATCCTCCAACCAAAATATGTTCTTCTTAATTGTCGTCCTGAGTTCCTATAGAAGCAATGTCCTCGTTTTGGCAATGTTTGCATTTATATTTTCAATAAAGCATGTCTTGAAAACTGTTTGAAAGCTTCAGTTAATCCAGAAAGAAGCCCCTAAAATTGGCCTTTGATATAATTAAGTGGTATCGTTGTACATTAATTCTGAAGGAGGTGTGCTTTTCTCTGCTTCTGAACCTTGTTTATAATCCCCGTTCATTCCCCTTTCCACTAAAATAATCGGAATCCAAATTTCTGAAGGAATTTGCAGAAAAACCAGGAAGGTTTTGCCAATCATACAGCCATTATCTGGAATAGTATAACTGTAAGGTCTTCTGCTTGAGCAGGGGGTTGGACTAGATGACTTCCATGGTCCGTTCTTCCAACGCTTATTCCGTAATTCTGTAATACCAGAAAGAGAGTGTTGCCCACTCTCATCTCTTGATGTTCTTTTCTTTCTCTCTTTCTCTTCCCATTCACACGTCAAGCGGCAGAGAAGGGAGAATCTTCTTTCAAAGGGATGAACTGAATGCAAAGGAATTTTGAAATAAGGTCCAACGGCCACAAAGTTTACATATTTCCTATTTAGTTATTGTCCTTGTGTCTCACCTTTTTTTTTTTTTTTGAGAACTCAAAATGACTTATGAGAACAAGGTTCATGCCTTATTTTATTCCCCCAATACTAATGAGAGGGGTTGTGTTGTGATGGAGTGATTGGCCCAAAGTCACCCAGTAAGCTTCATAACCACTGGAGAGATCAAAGCTGAATTTTTCGATCTTGGGTCTTAACCCAAACATACTAGGCTAGCACGTGACTCAAGGTTGCGGTATCCTGCTTTCAGCCCGAGTGAAGGGCTTTGAGTTGCCTCTCTCTTCCAATCTTTGGGATGTTAACTCATGTCATGTACAGCCTGGAACTGAACGGATGTTCCTGTGTTTTGAAAGGGCACCATGGCCGAGAGCACAGACATGGAATCCTTGCAGGAAAGCTTCCGGAAATTTGCCATCTATGGGGACACCAAAGCGACAGGTCAAGAAATGAATGGCAAGAATTGGGCCAAGCTGTGTAAAGATTGTAAGGTGATCGATGGAAAAGGGGTCACCAGCACAGAAGTGGACATTGTCTTCAGCAAGGTGAAGTAAGTATCTCTGTTAGCTTCCTGATGGGATTTAATTTATGAAACACAGGAACTGGAGAGTTTTCAAATAAATGTAGAACACACCATTAAAGCATATTAACACCGCATTTTAATGTATTTATTCATTTGATATATTTTTTTTCTTCCAGGACTCTCTAGACAGCATAGCCTCAGAAACTTTAATCTTCCATTTAAATAAGAACGATGTAGGAGAGACTTCATCATGTCTTAAAACGTTTTCCCCTCAGTAATGTGAATTATACATGCTAATTCAGTGTGATTCAGACACTGAGGAATTTCTGGAGAATGTTCTGAGGAGGAATTTCTCAGAGAATGCTCTCTGACAGCCCAGGTTTGAGACCCCAGCTCTGCACAATGGGGTGAGCTCCCGTTCCTTGCTCCACCTAACTGGGGCAGGAACAGCAGCTCACCCCGTCGCTCATTTGAACCACCCTCCACCTCTTGCTAAGTTTTATCAGGACAGCAAAAACATGGCTCTTTAGAAAAGAATTTGGAAAAGGTTGAGATCAGGCCAGACCCTGCTGGAAAGTCACTGAGACTGTTTTTGAGATGATATGATTGTGTATTGTTTTAAGGTTTTGATGATTGCCCATCACTGTCCGGAGCCTACAGCCATTGTGCAGAAATTCCAATAAATACAACTAAATCTCTCTCTCTCTCTCTCTCTCTCTCTCTCTCTCTCTCTCTCTCTCTCTCTCTCTCTCTCTCTCTCTCTCTCTCTCTCTCTCTCTCACACACACACACACACACACACACACACGTCACCCAGTTTTCTTGGCCAAATGACAACTTCCCTTTGGCACAGCTGAGGACCACATCTGTGTTTCTGAGAAGACCAAATTGTTCTGATGTGATCCAATGTATTGGCAGAAGGTCCTTTTGCTACTATTCCTCTGGCTCAATGTCATTTGTTGTTTCAGAGGTTAAGTCCTTAGTTGTGGCAGAAAATGTAGCTTAGTCTGCTAGCCTTGTTTGTTTGTAAAGGAAAAGCCTTGATTACAGAAACGAATGGTTCAATTGGAGGAAAGAGAGAGAAAGCGAGAGAGACACAGTTGGGCGTGAAACCTTCTCACAGGGCACATCAATATTCCAGTTCCAAATTTTGTAAGGGTTCCTTGAATTTATTCTGTGGTTTTAGGAGCACATAGGACTTCTGTTTAGAGATTAGTGGCTTTGTGGTGAATTTTCATGGCTTGGGACCGGGCTATTTCTGAAACTGTCTCTCCCTAATTGTTTCTACAGGTGGTCCTTGATTTAAGACTGTATGTTATGGTGGTCATAAATTGGGTGATGCATGTGATCTACCCGATTTTACAACCTTTTGTTAAACGAACTGCTTGCTAGGAGCCAGTTTTGCCGAAAACCAGAAGCAACAACAAAACCACTGTAAAACAGGACCAGGCAACTGTGGGTCACTGCCAATGACTGTCATTTAGGCTAGTTGCCAAGTGGCCGACATGCGGTCAGGTGATCATGGAGGCTGGTGGCTATTGGAACTTCAGAACCAAGTTGTAAAGATCACCAAGGAGGTCTGTTGTAACTTTGAATGGTAGCTACGCAACCAGTCATAAATTGAGAACCCCTTATACTTAACCCACCCAATCCAGCAAAATGGACAGGCTACTGGAGTCATTAGCTGAGTGTCAGCTGGCACAGCTCAAGTAGAGGCAGTTTTCCATCATGGTACCTTCCCTGTGGAACATCATTCCACTTGAAACTAGGTTAGCCCTGATCCTGTTGGCCTTTCACAAGGCCCTAAAAACTTGCTTTTCTGCCCAGATCTGTAACAGAGTTTTTCTCTTGGCTTTGTTGAAGCTTGGCTGTTATCTTTTTTTAAATTTTATATGATGCATTTTATTGTTTTTATCTATTCTACCATAATCCGGCCAGAGTCTTTTATGTGAGATAGGTATAAATCAAATAAATAAATATGATTTTTAAGTGCGGGGATGAACTCTTGACAGGGCAGTTGTCCTGCCTCCAAAGAGAACTCAGCCACAACTCCCAGGATACTATTTATATTCAAAGAAACCAGACCACAGGTTATAAAACACACGTATCCAAAATAAAGAAGCAAACAAGTGACATTCCCCCCTTGCTTTGAAGCACATGGAAGATGTCTGTAATTCTTGAGAAGACACCTGAGACTAAGCCTCCGTAAAGCAGCACTAGCTTCTTTCTCTGGATAAATGCTCAGGAAGAGCCTGATGTTTCATTACATCCCCTGTCGTTTTTCATGAGAAATGCATGGTTCAGCATTTCAGCGGCTTATGTGCAGCTGGAGCAAAAAAAGAGTTATACATCAGTGTTTGTGTGAGGGTTTACTTCCCTCTGTTCCAGAATTTCTCAACCTCAGACGCTGGCTGGAGAATTGTGGGAGTTGAAGTCCGGATGCCTGAAAGTTGCAGAGGTTAAAAAACACGGCTCTATCCGAATCTGTGCACAGCAGCAGCATTTGAGGCACTTGTTAAATCAGTGTTTCTCAACCTTGACAATTTTAAGGCATGTGGACTTCAACTCCCAGAATTCCACAGCCTTGAAGTCCACATGCCTTAAAATTGTCAAGGTTGAGAAACACTGTGTTAAATAAATGCCCTCAGTTGCAGGTTCCTCTGGTCCAATACAAGTCAGAGTCAGGCGGCAATTTTCACAGGAACTCCAAGGGACACGTCCAAGAGCCATCTAAAAGTGGGTCCTTGGCGCCCTCTGAGCTGGCTTGTTTTCTTGCAGATGTTTCATTAACCAAACTAGGTAACATCATCAGTGCTAGTAAGGAATGGTGCTTTCTCTCAGTTTATATTCTAAAGGTCTTAGAAATTCTCTGGTGGGGTTGTTTTCTGTTGGCTTGTTGGCAGTTCCTTGCTTGATCTTGCTTGATTGTTGGTCTGATGTTAATCTTGGGGTTTCTTATCTGGGTGCTGATTGCTGGTGGGCCGGTGTTTTGGTCTTTTTATCCCCTTTTTGTCTCATTAAAAGCAACAGAAGGCTGAATTGATCTCTGCAGCTCTCTTCTGTACCTCTGCCTGGAATCAGGAGCTCAACTGATCTCCTCCGACAGGCACAGCAAACAATTCTCCCCAATTGTTTTCATCACCTCCAAGTTTAATTCCTGTTTCTCCCAAGGCTGGCAGGTGGCCACATCTGGCTGACTTTGTCTGGCCTCGGAAGCTGAGCAGAGTGACACTGGTTATGAATCAAATGGAAGGTTATCCAGGGGTTTCAGCGCAGAAGGCAGACGTGTCCATGAATGGCGGTGGCTGTCAATATAGGATTGTACGTGGACTTAATCATAAGGAATCAAGCTTGCCTTGAAGAAGAACTTGCCTTGAAAGTAGCAGCTTCCAAAGCATCTATATGGTGACATCTGTAGTGGGATTTCATTGCTCTGATGCTGAGCTACCTACTGGGATCTTGAATTATGAAGCAAGGATGTAAGCTGGGGCAACTGCATGCCATCTCACCAAGTTGTTTCACCAAGGACTTGGGGTGACATAATAGCAGTCTTCCACAATTTCTGGGGCTGCCACAGAGAGGAGGGAGTTGACCTATCTTCAAAACACCTGAAGGCAGAACAAAAAGCAACAGATGGAAGCTTATCAAAGAGAAATCCAACTTAGAATTAAGGAGAAATTTCCTGACATTGAAGAACAACTAATCAGTAGAAGAGCTTGCTTTCAAAAGTTGTGGGTGCACCAACACGGGAGGATTTAAGAAGAGATGGGACAGCCATTTGTCCAGAAGGGTATAGTGCCTCCTGCTTGAACAGGGGATCGACTAGATCTCCAAGGTCCTTTCCAACCCTGTTACTTTCTATTCTATCATTTGTGCATCGTTCCTTAAATATGTTTTTATTTGCAGTTTTTCCTTTCCCCTTCTATTTATTCTTTCTTCTGGGTATGGGCATAAAAAGGCGGAAGGCAATCAAGCAGAAGGGGTCCAGTCCTGCATGTTGTTTGTGAATCCTTTGTTCCCATTGTGTTACAGAGCAAAATCAGCCCGGGTCATCAGTTTTGAGGAATTCAAGCGGGCCTTGGAAGAACTGGCGCCAAAGCGGTTTAAGGATAAAAGCAACGAGGAGGCTTTTGACTCCATCTGCGGACTGGTGGCAGGCAAAGAACCGGCCAACCTGGGCATCACTGTGAGTGTTGCTCCTGGGAGAGAGGGTGGGAGAGGGGAGGAAAGGAAGGAAAGAAGGAAAGGAGGAAGGATCCCATAGAAGTCAAGAGCCACGAAAATTAGCCTATGCATCACAAAACCAGGAGATAAGCAGGTTCTAAGATGTGAAGGTTGGTGATTTGCTCTGTATTTATTTATTTATTTATTTATTTATTTATTTATTTGTGAGACTTATATACCGCTTTAAGTGCAAGCACTCTCTAAGCGGTGTACACCAGTAAGCAATGTATATATATATTTACATTGCCCCCAACAATCTGGTCCTCATTTTACCTACTCCGGAAGGATGGAAGGCTGAGTCAACCTTGAGCCGGTGAGATTTGAACCGCTGACCTGCTGAACACAGTCAGCTAAAGTGGCCTGCAGTACTGCTGCGCCACCTCGGTATTTGGGGAATTATAATCCTAACACATCTGAAGTGAGTCCATGGAAAATATAATAAATACACAAATAAAGGGAGAGAGGCAGTCTTACCAGAGTGGTCTATATTTGTTGATTAAAATCTAAACTACTTACTTTTTACAGAGGGTAAATAGTGGAGGAAATAATCTTTCTTTAAATCCATGTTAAGTTTTTTAGAAGACACAGAATTGAGCATAGGGAGGGACCCCAAGGATCCCCTAATCCAACCCTCTGCAGAGGTCCAGAGTTGGAGAACCCACAACTTTCCTTATGTTGTATAGATCTTACCATCAGGAAGTTTTTCAATGTACCAAAACAAAATATAAGAAGCTGAAACTTACTAGATTGTGTATGGTCTCCCTGTGTCAGAATGGTGGGAAACCACTCTTCCAATGTTTAATAAATACAATCTTTAGCACCCAGGTGGTTGGGTAACAAACTGCCCAGAGAGTGCTGTAAAGCTCTATGAAGCGGTATATAAGTACTAGGTTGGTGAAAATGTTCAAGGGCCACTTCATCAGGGATGGCGATGGCGGTTGGGTGTTGGTCAAAGATGGTTCCTGAGCTCCACTTTGTCTTTGTGATTTCCAGAAAGCCAAGAATCTGGGGGCTGTGGAGAGGCTGACGGACACCTCCAAGTACACTGGATCCCACAAGGAGCGCTTTGACGAGAGCGGGAAGGGCAGAGGAAAGAGTGGGCGGGAGAACATCGTAGACAACAGTGGCTATGTATTGGCCTACAAGAACGCTGGCACCTACGACGCCAAAGTGAAGAAATAAGGGCACGTGCCTCTGCTGAAGAAGGGGGTGCCCCAGTCACACATCCCCCTTGCTTTGGGGGGTGGGTTTGGTGGGCCTAACTCCCGGGTTCCGAGTTGCAAAACGAAGGGTTGCTGCTGTTCTCGATTTCTTGGCCTGGCCTTTTGCTTCTCACACCCCTAAAGCTTCATCCGTAACACCCCTTTGTCTCAGATTTCTGCCCCTGGCTTTTCCTCACCCTCAACAGCTTCTCAGGCTTCGCCAACCCACCCACTCGCTCAGCTGGGATCATCACAAGACTAAATATGGCTCTCTGGGGGAACCTCGCTTGGGTGGAACTTCGGCTTCTCACGTAGCAGCTGTTAAAGGCACCAGGGGCGGCTGCCTTCCCCACAAGTCTCCGACCTCTGAAAAGGCCTCATCGACCTTGTCCACATGTGCCAGTGCTCAAATCCTCTCACCTAGCCTGTAACCTGCCCTGACCATCTGGGTTGGAGTGCAGCTCCCATTGGTCGTAGCCAGTGTGGCACTCTTGTCTGGCGTAATGGGAGTTGTAATCCCACACCTCTGAAGTGTGACTGATTGGGGAATCCTGTCCTTGGGCATCGTTTCACCGCTTCCGAGCTGTATAAGTCAAGCTGTATATGAATAAAGCACTACTAAATATATTCCTCAATTGGCCAGAAGCTGCTGTCTTATAGATCCTGTTCTCCCCGCACATCAGTGGGTGCTGATGTCTCTCTCTCTCTCTCTCTCTCTCTCTCTCTCTCTCTCTCTCTCTCTCTCTCTCTCTGTTGCTGAAGCATGCTTGGTTACACTAAACCATGGTTTGTTCAGCCATGCTTATCCAATGATATGGGAGTGTGTGAAGCTCAACTCAAACAAAACCGCCCTTGGTTCAGTGCAATCACCATCTTTCAGCATTCCTTAAGGCAGTGGTTCTCAACCTTTTTAATGCCGCGACCCCCAACCGGTCATAAGTCGAGGACTACCCAACCGATCGTAAGTTGAGGACTACCCAACCAGTCGTAAGTTGAGGACTTTCCCTGCCCGGGAGCACCGCGCATGCATGGTGCCGCCCCCTGCGCCGGCCGAGGCGTAGCTGGCAAGCAGACAACTTGCAGCACCATTTGCAGAATGCGACTTTTGGCAGGCTCAGCAGGGCAGAGACAGCCTGGACAATTCAAGAGAGTCTATTCTATTGGCTTTCAAAAGCCAATAGAATAAAAGGGAGTAGCACAGCTAAGGAAAAGGGGGAAAAAATGGCGGACTGCGTTGTTTGGCGACCCCCGTGAAATGGTCGTTCGACCCCAATTGGGGTCCCGACCCACAGGTTGAGAACCACTGCCTTAAGGCCTTGGGCTCCAGCAATATTGGAAGGCCACAATTTGATGTGTGGGTTTGCACATAATAATTGGATTATAATATAGCAGGATAAGCCAAATGGGCTATATTGGTCCTTTTCTAGGATTGTTCCTCATGGGAGACCCCTAAGGTTGAGGCTGTCGTCTCTTCCTCACTGGTGTGTTCTGCCTGCCCCTTCTGAGAAAACCTAGCTGACTTCTCCCTCTCTTGCTCTTGAGCTATTTTGTTGTCATGGAAAAGGTAGAAAAATGCTGGAGCAGTTGTTTTGTTGCCAGCCTGGAATTCCCTGCCTGTCTGGAGGGGGGGAGTTATCTTTTGTCCAGGCCTCTGGGGATTCATAGTTGCCCGGCTCACGGTTGCTGAATTTATGGCCTTGTTGCTATTTTTCTCTCACACATCTGTCTCTGCTTTTCCAAGCATGGTTTTTTTTCCCCCTCTCTGCCTCTTTTGGGTTTGGGCGCCATGGGCTCAGGTGACATGACGTCATGCGCAGCATCACATCATCCCCCGGGGGGGGGTCATCATTTCTGCAATGACCCAACACCCCTGATGTGGCTTGTGGCAAATGCTTAAGAGCGTCACCGTTATTCTACTTGGCTAACACAATTGCTCTGTTCTTCCTTCCAGGGGTCAACCCTCTTTATCCGGCGGAAAATGGCTGATTTTTAACCAGTTCTTCCCCCTTAAAAGGATACCCGGGTACACGATGAATGTAGCCATGTTGTAGTTTTCATGTCTACGAGAGATTCTCAGTCATCCAAGTCAGGGTCGTCCCAAAGATGCTTTTTCAAAAGGCAACTGGACTTTGTTTTTTTTTTTCCTTGAAAGCGTTTTGCTTCTCATCTAAGGAGCTTCTTCAGTTCTGACTGAATGGTGGAGGATGGAAGGATTTACATTTCTTGCACTCATCTGGTTGTTAGGAATGAAATCCTTCCATCCTCCACCATTCAGTCAGAACTGCAGAAACCTCTTGGATGAGAAGCGAAACGCCTTCAAGGAAAAATGAAGTCCAGTTACCTTTTGAAAAAGTACTTTGGGGACATATTGTAGTTTGCTTGCTTTTTAGTGATGTCTCTTAGGTCAGCCCAGGCACTGTGGCTTGCCCAGCAAGATTTATAGCTGGGCAAGCTATAAATCTTGCCCAGCTATAAATCTATATGTGTATTGAAGTATTTTCAGCCAATGGAGGAGAATAGGTACAGGGAAGAAGTATGGTTAAATGAATTGTGTCTACTCTGGCCTATGAACCAGGCCACTGCAATATTGCAGAAGCCACCAGATCCTCATCAACCCAAATTATCTATCTCTATCTCATAGTCTCCGTTGCATGGCCATCTAGATAGGCAAATGATAACACATCTGTAATGATGTCATTCTACAAACGGCGCGACTTGCACATTTAGGTCAGATGTCATGGCGTAAATATGTAATTGCGTCACTTGCACAATGATGGAGTGATATGTGTCGTCCTTTCAACATCTCCCTAGCTTCTCACAGATCCGTATCTCAAATTTTTCCAGCTATTCAAGCTATCATAGGTAGTTCTGTTATTGCAACAATATCGTGAATGACGTGACCGGAGTCTAGAGGAATGCTGATCTTGTTCATGTCACAATAAACCAAGGTTTCCTGAAATCTCCAATCACAGCCATCTGTGACCCTAAATATAAACGATTGGATTTGTATCTGTCTGGTTGCATTTCCTTGCTTAACTCTGTGTGTTCTAGATTCAAGGACTCATTATCTTTGAAGGAGAATATTTGTAACTCAGGCTGGAAATGAGGGGTCCTTGGTGCTGTCTGAGCTTGCTTGTTTTCTTGCAGACGTTTCATTACCCTAACTAAGTAACATCCTTAGCGCTAGTCCACTAGCACCCCTCACTCATTATCTTACATTGATTTACATTTGCGTGGGTTTGCTTTAAGGGGGCAGTGTTTGTTGTGCAACCACTATATCAACTCAAAAGGACAAGGTCTGGGAGCCTCATTGCATAATTTATAAAATTATGTACAGTAATTGTGAATGATAAATGTACAAAGGGGATGAGTGGGGCCTTTTCTCTTAGAGAAGAGAGAGAGAGAGGCCTCATTTTTTTTTTTTTTTTGTTAATTGCGAAGTCGTGTCCGACCCATCGCGACCCCAGGCCTTCCTGTCCTCTGCCATCTTCTGGAGTCCATTTAAGCTCACGCCTACTGCTTCAGGGACTCCATCCAGCCACCTCCTTCTCTGTCGTCCCCTTCTTCTATTGCCCTCGATCTTTCCCAGCATTAGGCCCTTCTCCAGTGAGTCCTTCCTTCACATTAGGTGGCCAAAGTACTTGAGTTTCAACTTCAGCAAGCTCTTTTGTACCAACACACAAAAGGAGACTGTATCTATAGCCCACAAAGAAGCTTAATGCAAGAATTAGACTTTGGCAATCTCAATTCGGCACGGGTTGTGAATTTTTTTCACAAAGTACCACGGAGCAAGCTTTTTAAATGGCATGTGAAACAAGGACGATAACCAAAGGACCAATTTTCACGGGTTGTTAAAAAGCAGTGGGGCAGAGAGGGACAAGAAAGACTGGCAGACAAGAGCGCCCTCTGCTGGTTAACACATATTATGTTTTTGATCCACTCTGATGCCTCTCAAGGGTTCACACCATTATTTTGATCCTATATATAGGCCTGGAGCTCAAGTAAAGCAAGAAAGGCTTGAGCCCACTGAATTACAAAAAATGTACAGCTGCCCAGTTGGGTAGGGAAAACAATTTTCATCCCAGATCCTGTGGAGAAAAGGAACCAAATCTGGATGGTTATTGGAGAGATCAGCCAGGAAAAGAAAGCAAGAAGCAGAATCTTACACTCACACCATCCATTGTTCCATTAATTATTCTGATTAGGAAAGCATACTTTTGCAGGCGGCAGAGAGAGAGGGGCTCCTCCAAGTGACTTTGGTTGCCACACATGACCTAAAATAGACAGTGTTGGGACAATTTCCCTTGGTCCCTTTCTTCTTCTGCAAGTCTATTGATGCTTTTTTCCTGGGCTGAAAAGATGTTCTTGGTAGCGGAAAAGAAGCCCCAAAGGCAATAGACAGTCTTCATCTATAAGTTATACCTTGTTTTTGAGAATTTGCATCCATTTTTCATTATTTTGGGTGTATGGTTAGCAGTTCTAGCCAGATGAATTTGGGGAAAGAGAACCTCCCTTTCGAACATGTATCTTCCTATTCAAGATGAGCAGGTTGAGATTCTGGGATGACTCAAGAAATCAGGTAAAACAAATACAGAAACAGGAAGATCATAAAGAAACTGTTGAAAGAAAAATCTTCAGGTCCAGTTCAAGCCGGGAGTAAACGAAATGGAGGCTGCTTAGGAAAGAAAGTTCCATTTATTGAAGAACAGAAGAGCAGCAGCCTGCAGTTCTGGGAAAGCTGACAAAATGGAGCTGGATTCCCGCTACTCAGATATGATAGGGCTAACTTGAAAAATGTTCAGAGCCTTCAAACACACATTTTCCTAAGCTTTCCAATGCACTTCTTGGAAGAACAGATGGCGTCAAGGGAGTGACTTATTTAGGAATATCACGGAATAAATCTTATACTGTTATTTAGGAATATCAAGGAATAAATCTTATACGGAAAGGTGACTGAATTGAAAGCAATTCCTGTGTGATTTTTTTTCTCACCGCCAGATGGCACTGGAGAACTATTTATTTGATTTATTATTATTATTATTATTATTATTATTATTATTATTATTATTATTATTATTATTATTATAAGTTCATAGAAGATGCTTTAGATTGAAGGTAAAGAAAGGAGAAAAAAATTATCTTTGGAGGAAAACAGATGCAAATAAATGCAGGATAACAACTCAGCAACTTTTACTCCATCTCAATGAGGGATATATACAATGCACCACTCGTGAGTTATTTTTAATGCGAGGAGAATTTTATTATTGAGTCCGAATGTGACCAATTGCAAAACTGAACATTTCTTATCATTAAGAAAATAGGCAAAACGGTGACTTGAGCTCTGCTTCGCAGTCATTTCCATTCGCTTTCTGCAACAAAGCTCCAGTTTTCACAATGACCGACTTTCAGGTATCCAAAGAAACTTCTAAAGGGTCCACTTTGTCTCTCAAACTAAACATGTCCAGCTCCATCCTTCCTTCCCACTTTATCACCATCATTTTAAAAACGTGGTACTGAGAAACAGGCAAAGGGAGCATGATAGAAAAGAATATTTGAAGCTTAGGATTGAAGTGTGGAATCCTTGGTGCTCTCTGAACTTGGTGGTTTTCTTGTAGATGTTTCATGACCCAATTAG